TTCAACAAAATCAATAAGAAAATATGCATTTTTTTTTAAAGCCGAGGCCAAAAAATTAAGGCCTAAATTTTCAAGGCCAAGGCCAGCAATTTCAAGGCCTCAATTTTTGGCCTTAAGGCCAAGGCTAAGGACTAACAACTCTGGTAAAAAGGTTAAAATTTTGATATCCTGTTTTTCATAGTAGTGAAAATCATGAGAGAAGTTTTTGTTCAATACATTTTAGTTCTTAAAATATTATCATACTAATCTTGTTTGGCTCGCCTAATTCTATAGAGTTCGTTAGTTTTAATGTACTATTTCTAAAATGTTTTTTTAACCTCATTTTTTTCTTTAAAATAAATTTTGTTAATATGTTTAAAATTTTGTGTTTTTTAAAAATTAATGTTTCAAGTTTTATGTTGAAATGACTGTTATATTTTCAGTAATTATTTTTTTTAAAATTGGGTAATCGAGGCTATTACATAGACAAATTTCTCAAAATATTTTAACTGTTTTGTAAAAATTTTTATTCTAAAAACGTGGCTAAGGATAAAAGTTTTGTGTTGGGTAAATCTCTAAATTTTTTATAAAAACTTTAAATACTTAATTGTGACTTTTTTTAAGGTATTAAAATAGTCATTATCAGTATTAAAATAGTCATTATCTCAGTATTAAAATAGTCATTATCAGGAAAAAAAAAGTTTTTTTTCTATTCCTAAATAGAAGTCATAATTAAGTATTTAAAGTTTTATAAAAAAAATTAGAGATTTACCCAACGCAAAATTTTTATCCTGTGCCACATAGTTTGATCACAGATGATCATCTGTATTACCGATCACAGACTCTAATCTGTTTAAAGGAAGAAATTTTATTACACAAAATAAACATTAACAAAACTGTTACGTTTGCTTTATAACATTTTCTGATTTTCATCTTTTGAAAGATAAAGAAGGTGCAAATCAAAATTTTTTATCGAATAGTGTTATTAATGATCTGAGTTCTCTTTTATTGACTGTTTCACCAGTAGGATATTTATTTCAAAAATTTGACAATTGTGTTGTGTACAATTAAATCATTCAAAATAACCATAAAATCATTTATCAGCCGTAGAAAAACAGAAAACTTTCGTGACCTGGAATGTAATTATGAATGCACGTAATTTTTTATTTCAAATATTTTTCACCGCACGTGATTTGTCTAACCTGAAAATAAATATAAACAATTAATTTAGTCTTTGTAGTATGTATTGCATTTAAAGTGCTTCTCTTTTGGGAACTTTTTTTTGTTATTAATAATATTTAAAAAATTAACATAATAAATGTATCAATGTTACATGCACTGACTGGCATAAATATTGATAAATGCAGTTTAGTGGTATAACGTTCACTTCATAATCATATAATTTTTTTTAAGGAAAATTTTTACGACTTTTTTAAGTCTTTGCAAAGACTTAGGACCAGATTTACTTAGATAGATATGGCCCTAAATATGAAAACACCTGGTGTAATCCTGGGTGTAATCCCTGACAATAATTTGGAGTTCAAAATTGCTGTACGTAAACTTTAGCGCCATTTCGGTGAAGATAAAAATGATTTATCAAAAAAGAAAATTAGGAAAACCTACAGTTGACTCTTACAAGACTCTTACAAGTAAAAGTTATATAGTTTCAGCTGTACCTATGGTTAAAATATCTAGTCAATCTTGAACTAAAAAAAATTGCCTTATTGCAACTAAAAAACACTTTATTTTACACAGAATTTTCCACCTTGAAAATTTTCCACCGTGCTCAGTAATCAAGACAACTTACTAATATCATAAACAGTAACAAAACGCAGACTTATATAATTATACACTTTAGTTATATAAGTCATTTTTAGTTCGTTGCATAAACTTTCAAATGTATTTAATCATAATAGAAAATATGATGAATATATTGTGTACTGGGTATTGCTCATAAAAAGTGGGAATAACTCATAAAACAGCTTTTTATTCAGACTAAAAGCATTTAAACTACAAATAATAAAAGCTATAAATATTTTCATAAATAAATACTCACCATTATGATGTATTTAAATATCAATACCAAATGCAATTTAATAAGATTATAAACGTTTTAAATTAGAAGAAAACTTAAATGATTGATTTCTCTAACCAGGCAATTTCGAATATATTTTTTATTTTATTGTTCATGCAATCTGAGAAAAAACCTAATATGATGTGAACTAGCAATAAAAATTTATTATTCTAATTTATCATCAAAGCACATGTAGTAAAAATTATAAACTATAAAGTCATAATTTATTTAATGTGTTGACCACAAAGACAGTTTTTTTTTTAAAAGATAACATAAATCTGAGCACAATTTTCTTTAATTTCTTTTAAATCTTATTATTTTTTTAAATTACTTGTTTAGGTATTCCAAGAGTTCCTAAAGCTCTTATCACAAAGCACCACGAAATAGCATTAAACCAGGAAGTTTATGCATCTTTTCTTAACAATCATGCATGTATGGCCATAGCCGGCTTCAAACATCAAACCTCCAATTTTATCCTCCAAAACTACCCAGTAGCCGTGGCGCAGTGGTTAGCGCTTGCATCAGAAGCTAAAAGATCCATTGTTCATCGCCACTTCTAGGCAAGTTTTATAATATCGGTAAGGAGGGAAGCATGAACTTCCTTTTAAATATTCTTCCACGGTACTCAGACCTAGTGCTTCCAATACCGATACCATTTTTCAATACCGGTATATTGGTACTAAATAATTAAAATACCGGTAATACCGGTATAATACCGGTATTAAACTTTATTTTTAAATTCATCATAATCTAAATAAAATCTCAAGTTAATAGTAAAAATTTTATTGATTAAATCAGCTTATTTGTTTTATATCAAAACTACTGACTTTTTCATTTTTCGCTTTTTTCTGCTTAGTAAAATGAGCCCGTAAAAAACATAGGGCGTTCAGAACATCATCTTCAAAAGATACTCTAATTTTGTTGGCTTCACAGTTTTCAAGTAATGGTAGGAATTTTGCAAATATATTCAACGATTTCCTCCTTCTTCAAAAATTCCTATTTCAATACATATAATTTTTGATGAATTATTCGAAACATTCAATTTTCCCTTGTTGTTACATCTCTTATTTTTCAAAATTGCAAAGTCAAGCTTTTTTTTCAATGACAAGTTTACAGCGTTGTCCACAGAATCACTATCGGAAAAAACGCTGGTGAAAGGGAGAGGACTATACCCTTTCTGATTGAGCCGATCTTTCAGTCGAGTAATGGTATTTACAATGGCTAATTTGCTATGGTGCTCAAAAGATAGAGCTAGATCCAAATTCTTGTAACGTTGATGTTCCTTGTGCAAAAAATGTTGTATGCTGGAAAAAGAGTACGTTGCTCATTAAATTGTTGCACCAACATAACTTTACAGCTAAATCGGTTTCTCCAAGGTTATCTATCATGGAAATGTTGTATCGGCACACAACAGAATTGCATGATTTTGGCACAATGTTTCCGCAGCCAGTTCTACTGGCGCAAGACATAAGTTAACAGCTAATATTGCATCGAAATCATTATTAGTTACCTCAACTTTGGACTCAAGGGCAAAAAGTGACTCGTGAATGCATTTTTTCAATTATACAAAACGTTCGAGTACTGTGTGCAAGCTAATCCAGCTAGTTTTGGATCCAAGTATTAGTGGAATATCTTTATCAAATTTTTCTAACGTGCGTTTTTAAATTTTGATCATTTTTTGTCGGAGAACGGAAAAATAAAAATTTCACAACGGTGCACACCTTTTTGATTAACGGCTGCAGATCATCAGTCAGTTCAATAGAGTCATTCTCTTCACTCATTACAACTTGAAACCCGCCGGAAAAGTCTTCATCATTATTGGTTTTGTTTGTGTCATCAGTATTTCCTCGTCATTTTCTCTGTTATTGCATATTACTTTCAAGTTTTTTTTGCAGAAATTGACGTTTTTTATACAAAATATCTTGAATACCTAGTTGAATCCCATGCCTAATGCACAACTGTTGATCACAGTTACTTAAACGCCCCACTTTCTACATTACCGAAACTTTTCATATTTACGTTAGTGCAAAATTCAAACAGGCGTTCTACATTAAAGCGAGTGACGTAATTATAATATTTTAAATTGGTGCTTCATTATTTAATGAAAACACGAAAGTAAATGAAATACTTAAAACTTCCAGTCACGATTAAACAACGCTTCCGGTAAGAAAAAGATAGCTAGATGACAAAAGACGTGTTTAAATTGTCTAAAACAAGTATTCTACGTCTTAAACGCGTCTTTTACCCAAAGGTAGCGACTAGCTAGCTGTTCGCTGGCTAGTTGCTAGCTCATTTCCTACCAAACCTAGTGGGAAATGAGCTGGCAACTAGATATCAAGTATAAAGTACGTAGAATACTTGTTTTAGACAATTTAAACACGTCTTTTCTCATCTAGCTATCTTTTTCCTACCGGAAGCGTTGTTGAAAGTTTTAAGTATTTCATTTACTCTAGTATTTCACGTAAAGAGGGCGATAGCACCTGCTATTTCATAAGCCCTCTACATATATTTTTAATACTTTTTAATGGGCAAGTCTTGCGACATCGGTTTATTTTTTTCATCGGATATATTTTTAATGGGCAAGTCTTGCGACATTGGTTGGGAAGGAGTCGTAAACTTCCCATTAAATGCTCTTCCGCGGTGCTCTGTGATAAGACCGTAAGGACTTCTTGGGGCACCTTAAAAAAAAAAAAAAAGAAAGAATACCGGTATTGAGCCAAACCAATACCGGTATTTCGGTACTTAAAAATGTCCGGTAATACCGGTATTCCGGTACCGGTACTACCGGTACAACAACAACAACAACAACAGCAATAACAACAACAATAACGACAACAAAAACAACAACAACAACAACAACAACAATAATAATAACAACAACAACAAACAAACAAACAAACAGAGGTGCTTAACATCTGCGTTATTACTATGACGTACCTTTTACGGACCTCGGCGTACATAATAACAAGGACTTGATTTCGAAAAGTAACGAATTCGAAATTTTTCCCAACAATTTTATAAGAAATGGACAAGTATGAACGAGACCGCGAAGGGCTTATAAAAAAGCTACTTGAATCAGTGAAACAGGTTCTAAACTTAGATTTTATGCTCCTACGTAAAAATATTTTTGTTCAACTTACGTTTAAAAGTGTTTAATAGTTTACATTTGTATTATCTTGCTTTTAAATTGTAAAAGCTTTAGTAAGAACTTTTCTGGTTTTTAATTTTTTGTTTTAATCTTTATTAGGTTTTCTTGTTAAAAGTTATATAATTTTCCTGGTAACAAAATACCGGTGATCTGGCTTGTTATTTTTGCGTTGTAGGGTTTGTTTTTCTTGCAACCCTTTATTATTTTTTTTTAGAAATAAGTTCATGACCCTTAATAAGTCATCATTATTAGTTGAGAGAATATTAGTGTTTCATGTGCGGCAATTTTTTTAAATTTTAGCAGAAAATGTTTTAAAGATTGTAAATTAAATATTAAAAAAATCTTTTTTTTAAATACTAGAGTTACAAAATAGTTTTTTTTATAAATATAGTATTTTGTTTACATAAATATTCTTTATGTTCTAGATCTCTTACTTAAGTTAATACAATTTGAATATGTTTATACATGAGTATATTTCTTTTTTTAATCATTGAACTTGTTACTAACATTACTATTGATTTCTTTGTGTTCAGTTTTAATATAATGTTGTTTAACCATATTGTACTAGGTTTAAAGTTTTTTATTTAGTTTCACGATTGCATCATAGAAGTTAGCACTTTTGATATATATTAATGTATTATCAGCAAATATTATACTCCAAGATATCAGATTAGTTATCATGACTCTTTACCACTTGAGTTCTCTTAGACAAATAGTTTTTAATCCATTCAAGAACTTTACCTCCAACTTTGTAGCAACCTAATTTCTTTACTGAAAGATCTCTGTTAATAGTTTCAAAAGCACATTTTAAGTCCAACATTACTGTGATTGCAAATTTATTATTGTTTAATGCTAATCTCCATATTGAGAAAATTATTTATAGAGCATCTTAAGTTGATCTTTTTTTTTTAAAGTCAAATTGATTTTCATACTATAAATCATTTGATTCAAAAAAATCTAATACTTGTTTATGAACCCATATTTCAATAATTTTTGTATACACAGGCAACATATTAATAGGTCTTAAATCTTGCGAGTGTTTTGGTGAGTTTGTTTTAGGAATTGGTATTATTGTAGGCTTTTTCCATGATTTTGGTACAATACCAGTCTTTATTGACAAATTAATTACTTCCAATAACTTCTCTGCTAGACTTGGATAAATACTTTCAAACATTTTTAAACTCATGTTTTCTTACATTGAATTTTTCATCTTCATATTTTTAACTATATTATCTAGATCATTTCTGTTTATTGGTTTGAAATCATTGAGAGCGTTTATGTTAACATTTATATGAATATTTTGTTCGACATTATAATTAATTACTTCTAATAACTTAATAAATTTTGTTCGACATGATTTAATTAGATTTAATAGACTAAAAGTAATTAATCAAAGTCTTGAATAATTTTGATTTAAAATTTATTATATTTATCACTTGCAGTATCTTTTCCATCTTTTTCAAATATAGTATCTTCAAATATATTCCTTTTTATTTTTTTGAGGTAAGTCAGTAAGATTTTTTAGGGTTTTCCAAATTAGCTTAGCATCATGTTTAACCTTATCAATTTTTTCTTTAAAAAACCTTGACTTTAAGCATCTTAATTTATAACTCTTTTAGTTTCTGCAATGTTCAACTATTTTAAATTGATCATTACATTTCTTATGTTAATTCCATTTTTTTTCATATACATAAGTTTATTTAGTTCTTTTGTTAACTGATTGCATGCTTTTATCAATGTATAATCCTTCCACCATTTCGGATTTCTATTATTGCTACTCTTCACTTCTTTCTACAAACTCTTGGTCAGATATTTATTATTTCACTATGTGTATTTTCTTCTGAGTTTACATTACTAATAAATAAATCGATACACATACTAGATGTAAATTGGTTTATTAGTAATAATAGCCCTCTTTACTTTCATTATGACTCATTTAATAGCCCTCTTTACTTTCATTATGACTCTTAATTAATTTAATGTCTTGTCTATAGTAAAACAAACACCCCTCACCCCTATGTGCTTACCCTCTGTCAAACATATTAAATTGTTAAAGCCTTCAATTTCAAATTCTTTTTCATAAATGTTATCAGCAATATGTGTTTCAACAAATGCAAATATGTGTGGCTTGAATTCACTTACATATTTCCTAACTTCATCCATTTTATTAACCATTTCATTTATATTGATTAACACATAATTTATATGTTTGAATATCTTTGATTGCTATTCTAGGTTTTTTTCAATTATTCCTTAAATTTCTTGGAATATTTGACAATCTATAAAGTCAGGTAGATGGTAGCCGTTAGTGTCCCATAGTTGTCCTAATCTTTCATTCATTTTACAACAGTTCACACAACACTTTACCTTATTATCATTAGACTTATTAGAAGCATGACTTTCAGCACAGAATCTTCAGTAATTCACTTTACTACTATATTTGTCTGCATAGTGGCTGTAGCTTTGACATTTGTTACAATAGATGATGTTCACTTGCTTTTTCACATACACTGCTTGCCAATTAATATAGAGACGATTAACTCCCTTTCAGCTATATACTTATAAGACTGCTTGTCCATATCCATAATAATCAGTTCAGCATTACCATTTTTTATTAATTTTCTTTTAATCACAACAACTTTCTTTTAATCACAACCAGAATCTTGTTCCAATCTATTTTGGCTAATATTTTTTTTTTATAATTGCATTTTCCTGGGGTAAATATTCTTCACTGACATTTACTATAAAAAATTATATATATACATACTATTTATTAATTCTTCTATTGAAAATTTGTCATTCATTTTTTTAATAACTTTTACAACTTTTTGTTTAGATTCCTCATTGGCACAACTTAAGATCATATCACCATCTTTATTTGTATTCATATATTAATTTATATATTATATTAATTATATAATTGTATTAATATGAACTTGAAATTTGCTAGGATCCAAATTTTCTTTAATAATTTTTTTAGTATCCACATTTTTTTAGTACCCTTTGAAACATTTTTTACTTATAATACTTCACTAGATTTATTTTTTTCATTTTATTTCCACTCTGTCTCAGCTGTATTCAACTGTACATTTTCAGTTGTACTTCTTTTTCTTTGTTTATAATTTTTTTCTCCTTATGATTTTGAATTTGTAATAATGACGATAAGTTCCTTGATTTCTTTGTTTAAATTTTTATTTTCAATTGGAATACTTAATATTATTTCATTTTTTTCTTCCTAATAATTATTATTTTCCATAATATATATATATATATATATATATATATATATATATATATATATATATATATATATATATATATATATATATATATATATATATATATATATATATATATATATATATATATATATATATATATATATATATATATATATATATATATATATATATATATATATATATTTAGTCTTGCATGGTATTTGAATAGTTTCTTCCATAAATTGGTATTTTAAAGAGACCAGAAAAAGTTTAAAAACTTGAATAAAGTTTTTTTTTTAAATGATAGATTGCTTACCCAAACCAAACCCTCAGTTGATGTAGCAGCACTCCATTGTAGCAGCAGGCTATAAGATAGTCAATGTAGCAGCACTCCCTTTGAGTAGCAGGCTATAAGAAGCTTTACAGTAAAAAAGCAACACTTCTCACATATTTTACCTATTTATCAATCAATGAAGCAACACTCCTCACATGTTTTAAAAGCATTATAAAAACAAAAATAAAAAAAAACACTGTTAGTTAAAAAAACTTTCTTGTCATTATTATTGCGCTTTTTAAAAAACAAAACTTTATGTACTTAAGTTATTTTAACTTTTAGACAACATTAAAATGTCTCTTAATTGTTGATGTTGTTTTAAAGTTGTTGAAAGAGACTTTTTTTTTAACCATAAAAGTCTCTGTTGATTATAATATAAGGATATGATTATATTTATTGAAGCTATATATACATATATCTATAGATATATCAATATCAATCAAACAATATTTTACCATAAAAGATCTTATAATCAAGGTCATTTACAAATAGTTAAAAACTAATCTTAAGTAAATACCATGAAATAATATTAATAATACAAATAATAATGATAATAATAATGATAATAAGTTTTTTTTCTTTTTAATGGAATTGTCCCTGCCTAATTTAACTTGTTAATGTAGTAGATCATTTTTACTTTGCGCACTTTTTATTGAAGTTAAACAGCTATTTTAATTTATGCTAAAATTTATAACTCTGCGAGGAAAAAGTTTTTGTTTTTGCTTACAACTAAATTTAAATTGGCATAGTTTATGAATGATCTAAAAGAACTTGTAATAAAACAAAACAATTAGTTGAGATTTGTTTTAAGAAAATTGGCATTTTTGTGTGTTTGATATAGCTAACTTTCCATATGAGCTAGCTAACCAGACATGGAGAAAACTTCAAACTTAAATAATTGTAAATAATTGTGGACAGAAGAAAAGTACACTTAACAAAAATACACTTACAGCAAAAATTCAAAGGACTGGTTTCGCATCTGAGTGGGCTATTCCTCTTCTTTCTGAACAAACAATTTGAACGTCTGTTCAATATGTTCAAACTATCTATTAATTGTTAGTTCTAACATTATTAATAATTAATATTAATGATTTAAAAAAAAAGTTATTTAAATATGAAATGGTGAAATAACTTACATTTATATCACTAGATAGATTACTATCTAAGCTTTACTTCTGCTACTTTTTTTTGGGAAAGTCTCTATATGATGTCTTTCCTGCCCCAAAAATTAATTAAAAAATTACTCTTGCTAAGTGTTAATATTACTTATGTAAAATAATAAATAATACTTGCAAATTTCTTATATTTTAGTGCCAAGTTGATTTTGGTGGTAAAAGTATTCTAGCTTCTGAGAAAGATAGTAGGTTAGTTATAACTTTATTTATAAATTTGTAATTAAAAATTATTAATACTGCTATTAGTAGTTATAAATATGAAAAGTTTAACTAAAATAGAAAGAGTAGTTTAAAAAAAAAGTCTTATCTATTTTGGCCTTTATCAAATATAAAGTTAAACACAATTAAACAACTGCATAATGGGCTATATATAGAATATCAATTAAATTTAAATATTATGTCCAGTTCAACTTACCATAATATTTAAATGGCAGGAAGTGATGTTAATTACCGTGTTCATAGGAGCTAAAGTATAACAGTCCTCTCTGGTTTCAGTTTCAGGGTGAGGTTTCAGTTTCAGGGTGAGGCGTTATTACTTAACTTTGGATCTATGAAGGAAAGTAGTCATTAAGATAATCTTTTGATATTGTGTCCTGTTCTTGAAGATATATTAGACTGTTGTCATGAGTAGTAACTGCCTGTATAGAATGTTGGCTAATTATTGCTGTTATTGGTGCTAAGTATTGCTGTTATTGGTGATTAGTTATAAGAGATGGTATCTATTATTGAATTAAAAATCAAATGATGTGTGTTTGAAAATACTTTTATGGTTTCCTTTAATTCGTCTTTTTTAGGAACTGTGGGTATTGTGCCCTGTGGGGCCCTGTGGGGCCCCGTCAAACAGTATTTCCAAATGCTGAAAAATTTAAATTCCCAATTTTAAAGGGAAAATATCCCATTCTCCGAATAAGGTTTTCAAAATTTAAGTTTTCAATAATTAATAAAAAATTATTTCAAAAACTAATAGAAAAATAGCAGAAAAAACTTTTATCTATTAATTGTGTTAAACTTGAAATAAAAACGCCGTTATTGGTACAACTACGCAATCACAATGTCTATTCGAAAAAACTTTTTGAGAATTTGGATTTTCCTTCTCTGTAACTTGCTTGTAAAATTCATTTTTCAAAACTTGCAAATCATTTCCTGTAAAGCATTCCAACAACAACAAATATTATATTAAAAAATTAGCAAAAAATAGAGTACTATTTTAAAAAATAAAAAACTTGTTTGGTTTGACATCCGAAAACGCTATTTCTTTAAATTTTTTTCCCTTTTTGGCTGAAAAGGTAAATACCTTATTAAGTCATACTGCAAACTCTACTTCAAGTAGTACATGTGCTTAGTCAACAAAATTATTGAGAAGGTGCCTACGTTAGATACTTTCGAAATTTTGATCAATTACGGATTTTACTTTTATCTTTTTTTTGTTTAGCATTTTACATAAACTGAATTACGTTATTGCATTGACTAAAATCATTTTTTACTTATCTACTATCTTGACTAACTTTTTAAAAAGACTACTTCTGAAATATAAGATTAATACAAAAATTGTTTTATGATTATAACAAACTGGTTCTAGAAATTTATTTAACAAGGAAAATAGATTACTTTACTGCTTGCTTTTAATTAAAATGTAAGTTAAATAGGTATATTAAAATATAATTTAAATACAAGAATGTTTTTTTTTATTACAACAAACAATACTAGAATTTTAAAAATTAAGAAAAAGAAAAATCACTGCAAAAATAAAAAAAGAGTCACTGTTTGCTTGAATTTAAAACGTAAAAGCAAATTTAAATGTTTAAATGAACCATGGTCATAATAATATTTTATGATTATGAATGAAAAAATTATTGTTATTCTTCGATGCCATGATAGCCTGCAAGCGCTTGCGATTTATATTTTTTTGTAATTAAATAAAAGTAGTTGTTGTTTTTGCTGGATTTTGTAATTGTAACTTTATCTTGCTATGCGATTTGTGTCTACAGGGCCGATGACACAGGTTTTGAAGTGTCAGGGGGGGGGGGGCATAGTCGTCAATAGAATTTTCTTAAACTAAAAAAAAAAAAAAAAATCCTTCAGAAAAAAAGTATGTGTGTGTTTGTGTGTGTGTGGGGGGGGGGGTTGGGGTTGGCCCGCTCTTTTTGTGGACCCCACTTTATGTTAAAATGTTTTATTTAAAAACTTTATGTTAAAATGTTTATTTATATTAAAATGTTTAATTTTTCGCAACCTAATAACAATTAGCTCTGGAAGATTCCTTTAACTTTTATGCAGGTTGAATATTGTAAGAAAGTTTCTAAAGCCAAAGAAGTTCTACTGTAAAAAATGTTTTGTCAGAGCCAGTATCTATCAATATTGTTTATTTTTTTAATTTGTTTATGGTTTATATGTTATTTTGTTTATAGTGACATTAGTCTATCAAGTGAGTTGATTGTTATTATGACTGTAAATATTATTGCGTTATTGTTTTCGTTTTTATATTTTTTGTTATAAAACATTGTTTTATGAAGTGTCTCTAGATTGACTTCTGTAGCATCAAGGAGGCATTGTCAAATATTAGTAAGTTATATTTTTATCTTCTGTTAGGGGTTATTAACATAAAAGCTTTGGATATAAGTAAATTCTTTGTTGATCTTCTGTTATGGGTTCTGTAGAACATTTTTCAGGCATACTGTTTCAGGTTGATCATAAAACTTTCAATTTCTCCTTCTTGTTGCTTTAAATTCAAAGTTTGTGGCGCATCATAATAAGTTTGAGGCGCATCATAATAAGTTTGTGGCGCATCATAAGCACTTTTAATTGTTTTTGATATTTGTTATTAGGTGTTTTCATTTTGTCATCATATGATGTAATATTCTGGATTATTGAGGAAGCTTTCACTTCGATTAGAAGAAATAAAACTTGAAGTTTGAATTTCTCTAAAATTTTAATTTTATCTAGATACATTGATACCATTTTGTTCTAGTATAGAAAATCTTCTTTGTTTGGTTCATTGCATAGTATTTTGGCTTCCTTACTAACTTAAAATTTGATAAAATTATTCCAAAACATAATAAATAAAAAGTTATAAATAAAAAGTCCAGAGCCTATTCTAGGAAAAAAATTTGGGCGGCAGACTCTAGCGGAAAATCACTTTTTTTTTCAAAATTTTTTTTTTTTCCATAAAAACGTAAAAAAAAAAAAAAAAAAAGGTGTCCAAATTGATGCCTAAATACGGTTGACACTGCTGAAAATGGTCTAGAATAGCCCCTAAAGTCTATCTTCTATATTTAGTTTTATCAAATTTAAAATTAAACACAGTTAAAGAACTACAAGATGAATTTTATATAGCATATTATTTACATATAACTAATCTCCAGTTAATCAACTGTATTATTTTAAATGTCAGGAAGTGATGTTAATTGATACAACAACATAATAAAAGTTAAAATATAAGAAGTAGGTATACTTTTCAGATTTGTTTGTGCTTGTGAAATATTTTCCTATAATTTATTAACTAAATATTTTATTCAATATTTATTATTATTTTTCTTGTAACTTTTTTGTTACTTATTTTTATGTAACATTTTAAACTTTTTTTATAACATTTTATAGTATAACATTTTATAAATATAATATATTACATTAATTATTATAACAATTATTAAAAATGTTTATTTAGAAATTAGAATTTTTTTTTTATTTATTAAAAAATTTCAGCAATATTAGTTTATTAACATTAGTTTAGTTCTAAAACATTTATAATGATAAGTTTAGCTGTCATAATAAAGAATAAGAAAAAAACAAGAAATATTTTAAATAAAAGACAGTGATAAATAACAGATATTTAAAAAGGGCTGCTAATATATTAAAATGTATTAAATTATTTTCACAATTGATGTTAGATATTAACTAGATATAAACTTAGATATTAACAACTAAGAATAAAAGACACACAAGAACAAATCAAAATTAAAACAGAAATTTTGATTTTATTTTAATGTAACCTTTTTTTTTTTAAATAGTGTATCTTGCTTGGTTGCACAGTTTGAGCAGGCGTTTCAACATGGACTAAAAAAAAATAAAATGTGGGAAATGATTAGTTCGTATGTAGAACCTGTCAGGTTGTTTTTGAGTGAAGTATATACTCTGTTAATTAATATATATATATATATATATATATATATATATATATATATATATATATATATATAAATATATATATATTATATATATATATATTTATATATATATATATATATATATATATGTATATATATATATATATATATATGTATATATATATATATATATATATATATATATATATATATATATATATATATATATATATATATATATATATATATATATATATATATATAATCATAATAATAATAATAATAATAATAATAATAATAATAATAATAATAATAATAATAATAATAATAATAATAATAATAATAATAATAATAGTAATAGTAATAATAATAATAATCTGTGGTAGATTATTCTAATTGACTGAATTAATCCAGTTCTTGCCCAAAACTCAAAACGAAGATGTGTTTTTTTAAATTATTGCTGTTAGGAATATATATAAATATATATGTACCTTTTACAGTGTAACTTTTCGATAGCTCTCTATGGTTGCTTTATATTTGTAAATAAGCCTGGATATATCTTTTCCGTAAGGTAGATAAAATATTATTCAAATAAGTTTCATCTTTTTTCATTTTAATTTAAATCCGATTTTCTGATTATAATTTGATTTTTAGTTTTACCTGTTTGTTCTAAAGTTTTAAAATCTTTAAATTATTTATTTTCATAGGCATGGGCTAAAACAGATAGAGACATACTGCAATTGTTTGAAAAAACATTAATTCTATTTTAGAAGAAATTTTTATTTTAAAAGGAAGTATTTTGAGAATCATTTTTACCCATAGGTTTGTGTCTTTCAATAGAGTAAAAGTATCACAAACAAGACAGTGCCCACTGTGTATTACTCGCAAAGCGAGTACTTATCAGAAAACTGTCTTAACTAAAAATAAAGATATTTGCAAATTTTAAAAGAGTTTTTCAATTTTTAGCAGTTGGCAAACTTCACTTTTAATTTATTAAGAATAATTAATTGATTTGAGAATTTATTAAAATTAATTAATTGGTGAATTGTGTGAAAATAAATCCTGAAAGAACTCTCTTGAAGCAATTTCAATTCCAAAATGTTTACAAACATCCTGCAAAAAAAAGCTAAAAGTGTCAGAGCAATGGCAAATCGAGCTTTTAGAGATTTTTTTTAAAGATTTGGGTTTAAACCCATCTATGAGAAAAATTTGCTACATCGGTTAGGCAGGAGGCACAAACTTCTTGTTAAAAACTTACCTGAAGTGCTTTGTGATGAGGCCTATAACTACTACTCTATCCCACTGCATATTACTCACAATTGATTCATGTTTATGAGAACATTGTAAATGTAAATTACTTTTATCTTCACAGCAATTTCAATTCCAAAATGTTTACAAACATCCTGCAAAAAAAAGCTAAAAGTGTCAGAGCAATGGCAAATCGAGCTTTTAGAGATTTTTTTTAAAGATTTGGGTTTAAACCCATCTATGAGAAAAATTTGCTACATCGTGGAAATATGGAAATGAAAATAAGCATAAACATGGAAATGAAAATTAAAATTAAAAATACATTCAACTTGTAGTTTTAGTCATTGGGACAAAATAATTCAGACGAATGGAATTGCAGATTATTCCATCCGCTTAAACAATTCTGTTCAAATGCGTAAAAATTAAAACATAATATTATTAACTATTTTTGTAACAGTTGTAATGGCTATAACTTAAAAACGCATCCTTGTTTTGAGTTTTTGCGCAAAAAGTGGAATAATTCAGTCAATCTACCACAGATTATATATATATATATATATATATATATATATATATATATATATATATATATATATATATATATATATATATATATATATATATATATATATATATATATATATATATATATATATATATATATATATATATATAGTATATATATATATATATATTTATGTATATATATATATTTATATAAATATATATATGTATATATATATATATATATATATATATATATATATATATACACACACATATATATATATATATATATATATATATATATATATATATATATATATATATATATATATATATATATATATATATATATATATATATATATATATATATATATATATATATACACATACATATATATCCTTATAGTGTAGTCGAAAGAGTCTTTTAATGTAAAAAAAAGTCTCTTTTGACTACAATTTTAATTACCTCGTCTCTTAAGTTGTATTTGATTGTTGTCGAAATGTCAAAGCAATTAAATTAATGCGGAAGGACATTAAATTATTGTTTTTTCGAAAATTTTTAAAAAACGCAATAATAATGACTAGAAAGTTTTTTTTTATTAGTGGTGTTTTTGTTTTTTTTTTATTAAAAAACATTTTTAAAACATGCGTAAATGTTGCTACATCGACTATCTTATAGCCTGCTGCTACAAGGGAGTGTTTCTACATCGACTATCTTACAGCCTGACTCGCAACGGAGTGCTGCTACATCGACTGACAAATAGCCTGACTCGCAAGGGAGTGCTGCTACATCAACTGACAAATAGCCTGACTCGCAAGGGAGTGCTGCTACAACGACTGACAAATAGCCATACTCGCAAGGGAGTGCTGCTACATCGACTGAGGGTTTGGTTTGGGCAGGCAGTCTATCATTAAAAAAAAAAGAAATTTAAGTTTTTAAACTTTTTCTGATCTGGTTTATTAACGCGCTCTTTAAAACTACAGTTTATGGGAAACTCTTTCTGACTACCATGCAAGAGTATATATATATATATATATATATATATATATATATATATATATATATATATATATATATATATACACACCTATCTATATATATATATATATATATATATATACATATATATATATATATATATATATATATATATATATATATATATATATATATATATATATATATATATATATATATATATATATATATATATATATATATATACACACATATCTATATATATATACATATATATATATAGATATATATATATATATATATATATATATATATATATATATATATATATATATATATATATATATATATATATTTATATATATTTATATATATATATATATATGTATTATATATCTTAATCAATATCATGAGTATTTCAGTGCAATTAAACTAAAAAAATTATTTCCTTCTGAATGTAAATGGTTTTTGCCCACTTCCCCTCTCTCTGAGATGTTTTATTCACATACCCATACTTTAGGTGCAATTTGGAAGTTTTTAAAATGTAAAATAGAGTCGTGGACTCTATTAATCAATAGGCAAATTATGTTGAATTTATTTTTTATATATTATTATTATTTTTTTGTTTTAGGCAAATTACAGACAAGATGCTCTTAGAGATTGATTTAAGTAAGTTTAACTAAAAAATATTTTCAAAATAAATTAAAAAAATTATTATGTAAAAAAAATTTTTATTCACATTTTTGCACATTTTTTTATTTTTTAGATTATAGTTGTTTTTTTTGAATTATTTCATTTTATTTCTGTAATTGCAAATAAATTTGTTAATATTATATTTCAGAGATAATATTGTAATTGCAAATAAATTTGGTTTGTTAACTTTATATCTTAGAGATTGGAAAAAATATTTTAATTGCAAATAAATTTGATTTGTTAACATTATATTTCAGAGATTGGAAATAATATTGGTTAACTGTATTAAGCAGAATTTAGCAAAAGTAGCAATATTATTTTGTTGTTGGGTTTAATAACAAAGTAATTGTTTACTTTTGTTTATGTTCAGTAACAGCGGCATAGGAAGGTTTTTAAATGTTTGAAATAACCAACTTATAAACAACAAGAAACTCCAAATTTTTTTACATTCATATGTATGACGAAAAGATTCTTTAAAAAAATAATTACTTGCCCCCCTGCCCTAAATGTGAGAACAACAAGTTGATAAAAAATTTTTTGTACTATTTTTAACTAGACTTATGTTCATCGAGAAATTTTAAATTTCATAGTAAATGAAACTTAAAATGAAACCTCCTCAAATTGAAGGGGGTTTAAACTTTGTATGGTCAGTTTTTGAACACTAAAATATTTACTATGAAATTTAAAATTTCTCGATGAATATAAGTCTAGTTGAAAATAGTACAAAAAATATTTTATCAACTTGTTGCTCTCATTTTTGGGGCAGGGGGGGCTAAGGTTTTAGGGTTTCTTTTTCTCATTCTCCTATCACAGTAATTTTTTTTTTAAAGAATCTTTTTGTCATACATATTAATGTAAAAAAATTTAGATTATTCTTGTTGTTTATTACTTGGTTATTTCAAACATTTAAAAACCTTCCTACGCCACTGTTTACTAATATATATATATAGTAATTTATATTATTGCAGTTAGTACTGATTAAAACAATTTAATAATGAGCATATCTATAATAAGGTAGTCTGTGGTCACACTGGAGGGAGAAAGAAAACATCTTTAAAAAAATGAATATTTTATAATTATATGCTTTAAATTTTACAACAAAAAAAAGCTTGTTATTGTTTATTTTTTGATATATAGTCTCAAAAAAGTTAGTTGCTAGCAAACTAACTGATAGAGCCATGATAAGAGAAGCTGACAGAACAATTTTGTTGTCTGTAGATGAAATCTTTTATAACTTAGAGGATAATAACAACCAAAACAAAACAAGCAGTTTAAAAAAAAAAAAAAAAAAAAGGAAGCAGAATAAAACTACTTGTTAATAGAAACAAAATTTGCTCAACAGAAATTCATATGACTGCCAGAAATAATTTATCAAGGAAGGTAGGAAGGTATATCAATGAGGAATAAATGTATTGTTCAAAAAAAGGAGTAAAAGGTAATGCTAAATTAGTTGTATTTTTGTTTATTTTTTTTAAACATCGAGTAACAAACTAAAGCCTTTTTATTTATTTAAAATATTCTTACAGATTGATGCATGTAAATCATTCAGTTGATATAAATCATTCAGTTGATATAAATTTGCTCAATACCAACATAGATATTTTGATGTCTGATTTAACAAAATATCAATGAAAGATTATGGAGATGTTTTTCAAAAAATTTTTTTTAAAGAAAGCTTTTGACTTTTTCACCAATTCTCTAGTAGGGGTTATGTTTATATGCTGAATTGTCAAAATTAACAGTAAAAATGCTACTTGCAAAAGAAGTTTTTCCAGTTATGTAACTATTTATAATGCTAGAAGAAACAGATGGACAATTGAATGAGCAGAAAAGTTATTGTATTGTAAAATTCAAAACTTGAAGCAATTGATATGTGTGCAATACAATAGTCAATCTAGTCCAAAGAATCAATCTTTTAGATGAACCTCACAAATCAGTACATATTTCAGTTAGCTAGTCACTTGACCAAAACTTATCCAAATATTCCAATCAGAATTCTTCTGTAGATGAATTGTAAATGAAAAAATAAAATAAAAAACAGTTTTGAATTTTTTAATAAGCAAATAATTCAAAATCAAAAAAAAAAAAAAATTAATTAACTTTATTTATTTTACTCTTTCTTTATTCTTCGCACGTTAATTAAATTTTTTGCGCTTTTATTTATTTCTTTTCACTTTAAAAGATTAATTTTAATTTATTAGAATATTAAAAACTAAAATAGAACTAGTTGGAAATTTTTAAAAAAGGTAACAAAATAATTAATTTTAATAAAATAAGGTGCATGAAACTAAAACACTCAAAGAATCTATAAAATGAAAATAATCTTGAAAAAACTAAAAAACCTCAAAAACATTTTTATTTTGGTTGAAAAAAAAAAACAAATTGGAAATTAATGGAAAAGTTTTTCTTTTGGTTTTAAAGAAAATTTCCCTTGAAACTATTACACTCTACTTCAGCTGGTTTTCACTCTGGTTCAGCTGGACCAAATCATAAATTTATTAGCTTTCTATTCTAGCATGTACTAACAAGTTCAACCACTCAAAGTTTGTCATTCATGTAACCAATCAAAGTTTGTCATTCATATAACCACTCAAAGTTTGTCATTCATGTAACCAATCAAAGTTTGTCATTCATGTAACTACTCAAAGTTTATCACTGATGTAACCAATCAAAGTTTGTCATTCATGTAACTACTCAAAGTTTATCACTGATGTAACCAATCAAAGTTTGTCATTCATGTAACTACTCAAAGTTTATCACTGATGTAACCAATCAAAGTTTGTCATTCATGTAACTACTCAAAGTTTATCACTCATGTAACCAATCAAAGGTTGTCATTCATGTAACCAATCAAAGTTCGTCATTCTTTTTTTTCTTAATTCATTCTTAGCACATCAGTCTAACTCAAAATGAATCATAAAAACTTTTAATTTCAATAATGTATTCATTATAAGTATCTAACAATGCAAGCAATATTGAAAGCATTATAAAAAACAAAATGCATATTTTCTATTTTACAGCATTTTGGTCAGTGGTAAAAGAATATCTTGGAACATCTGAACTCAACTACTTCAACACTTTACCAGATATTACTACCGATTCAGGAAAAGGTAAAATTGTTTTAACAAAATTTTTTAAATTGAAAAACTATTATTTAAAAATTTAAGTTTACCCATGTTTTTTTGTTTTTTTTTTACTTACAAAAATTTTATTCCTAATTTGACCCTTTTGAATATTTAATTTGGAAATAAAGAAACTTATATAAATGTTATAACAAAAATAAAAATTGCATGCACTTTTGTTGTGTATGTATGACATCTATAGTTTTGAAACAGTATAGAACACATCTCACTATTTTTATTTTTCCCTAATTAATATAGTTTAAAAAAAAAAAAATTAGCATCTTCAAAATTTTTTTTTTTTCTTATATTGGTTGCACATATAAGTTTTAAACTTGACATATATGACTTCAATTTATAAGTAAAGTGCTTCTATCCAGTAGACGACTATCAACTTCAATCAACATTCTTACAGAATATTGCTTGAAGTTTACATTCATTTTTTTTGTTATTAAGTTTCATTCTCATCTTGCAGACTGTCAATTGAAGCAATATTTTTACGTTTAAGCAAGTAACAACAGTAGCTAAAATATAGTTCAAACTTCTAATTTTTAAATATTAGTTTAAATTATAACTTTTAGGTTATTCAAAATTGACTAATATCAAAAAACTATATTAATGTTATTATTTTTTGGTTTAGCAAGAGTTTGGCTTCGAACTGCCATTAATGAAACTACTCTAGAGCGACAACTTCTTCTTATACTAGGAAATGTTGCATTGTTGAAGTATGTTTTATAAATTTAATTATTTACCTTTTTTAATAATATTTTATAAAAGGTGCTTTTCAATTAGATTTCTTTTTTCACACCCTTTCTGAAAAGAAGCTCAAAAAAACTACTGTTAAGTTAAATGTTAACTTATGCAAAAAGAGCAATAATATACAAAGAGATTGTATGGAAAAAGCTGATGCTTTGAGAATAACACATTTTGTTTTTTTTATTTTTTATTTTTTTTATGATGATTTTTTTTACTATTCAAAAATAACTTAGTTCTAAATTTGGCATCATTTTAGAAAATTTTAGCTAAAATGTTTTTAATTCTGTATACACTTATTCTTGTTTATAAATCATTTTTTACCTAGCAATCATAAGTAATTTATTTAACAATGTTATAATAATATCAATGTTATAATAATTATCATAGTTAATATTACAATGGGCTCATAATGATTATATGGTTTTTCATATTCTTCACTTGATTTAGTAGAGAATGGTTCTAATTGTTCATCTACCTTCATGTTCTGAAAGATAGTGTTGTTAGTGGAAATTAACAAAAACGTCAGCAGTATTATCGACTGAAATTCTGTTTTGGTATCAGTTTCGGCCGAATTTTCAATTTAAACCGATACCGAAATTTTGATTTCGGTACTTTTAATAAATTTGGTAAAAACCAAAATTTTGGTTTAAAAACATTCCGAAAACTGATTTTTATCTAATTTAGAAAAACAGTTATTTTTTAGAATTTTCACAAAATATTTTAAGAATTTTCACAAAATACCTTAAAAAAGTCTTGTTTTGCAAATCTGCCAGTTGTTAAATTTTGCTATTAACTTATATTGAGATTTTATACATTAGTTTTGCTATTAATATCGCAAAACTAATGTATAAAATCTCAATTTGGGAACGTGAAATTAATTCTAAAATAATACATGTTTAAAAAAATGACAAATGTAAATTGCATTTTTAAATCAATTTTACTAATCAAACAAATTTGAATTGCCAAAATTCGATATTGGTTTCTGTAAAATATTTGCCAAAATGTCGGTTTCTGTTTTGGCACCAAATTCGAGTACCTGAAATTTCTGTTTATTTCTGTTTTTTTTTTTTTTTTCTGTTTCATTCGGTCACTAGTGGCTAAACGTGGCTGTTACTGAAACACAAGGGTGATTGATAACACATAAGATTCTTGGAATTCAAAAAAGATTTTTGGAATTACTTGAAATAAGGAACAGGGTATTTACAAGCGATTTTTATTTTCAACAAAAAAATGTTAAAAAAAACAATAGCTAGTACTTGCTAGGATAAAACAATATTCAATACTGGATGCATTCAAGGCACTGTAGTTGCAATAGAAAAGTATCTTAAAAAAAAACTTTATTGTTTTTAGGTATTTTCATTATCATAGAATCATGATAATAAAGTATAGAAGTTGTTGTTTTGAAAAGATAGGTTTTAAGGCTCTTGAAAATTTCAATTTTCAAAAGCCTCAAAACTAAGTGGGATAAAATTGACAAGACAAGTAAAGAAGCTTTTGCTTTACTTAAAGTTCAAGACCAATGGGTGGCAACAAAGAAGAAAGATGTGTGCAATTTTTTTCCTGTATCAAGTCTCAAACTAAGCGAAGCAACCTAAAAGTGACTACCTTGACCTTTGCAAAATGACAGTCGTTTTACCTAGAGAAGCCACCTGTTGAATTAGTTTTCTACAGACCTAGTGCTTTACACAAAGCCCGGTAGATGGCCAAACTTCTGTACAGTGCAAGAATGTTTTGTCATTATGTTTTTTTCAAAAAAATTTTTTATTGATCTTGACATAGCGGCTAATTAAGTTATAATTTTAAGTTAATTAAAGTGAGAAATTGATGTTTGTAAATATTGTTTCTCCATCAGTACTATTAACATTTGCCTGTTTTTGTTGTTAATGCTAAAAAATATTGAGTGCTTCAAAATAAGACCTGATACTCCGTTAGTTTTGAACTCAGTTTTGTAAAATACTGTTTTGGCATAATTTATATGCTAGTTTTTGAGATATTTTGTTTTGTATTTTTTGCTTTTATTATTTATTTTTAATTATTGCTGCTCAATGTTACTAAATTGTTAACAAATATTACTTGCTCTTATATATTAAAATCTAATGTAACTTAAAGATTTTCAAAACATGCAAGTTTTTTATTTATTTAATGATCTTGTTTTTAATGTTATTAACTGGATATGATTTTTATTAGGTTGGCAAAAAAAAAAAAAAAAAAAAAAAAAAAAGAAAAAAGAAAAATTCTTAAGTTATAAAAGCAAAATAATATTTTATCATAATTTGTAAAAAAGTTGATTCATGTTAATGGATCGAATTTCCAAACCTATATTTTTTTAAATATAAAATTGATCTTCCTAGGATTAGCAGCTCTTACCTTGAAAATAAGTCAAAGTCCAAGAATAGAAAGATCTGTGAATACCTTATTTGAAATTTGACCAAATATTGTTAAAAACAGTTTATATAGAAGGCTAGAGAGACTTCTGCTTTTATTATAATTTAATTTAATCACTAATGCATATTTTTAAAGTATTTTTTTTAAATCAAAATTCAATAATTATAGCATATTTTAACAAATTAACTTTTTTTATATTTCCTCATTTTCAATGTTAAATTTTTTTTTTAAAAAGCGCTAGTCAAGTGTCTAAAGTCACTTTGCATGCTTCGGACACTTGACTTGCATTTTTTAATAAATGATTAGGTAATTTCAATGATAATGGTTTTTATTTTTATTTTTACATTATTGCAAATGGTACTTATCCAAATTGCATTTAAATTGCATTCAAAATGCATTCAAATTGCATTCAAATTGCATTCAAATTACATTCAAATTGCATTATACAAACACATCCTTATCTGAATGATTTTTTTGAAATCAAAAGTTTTACTTTTTTTTTTTTTTTTTTGCAGGAAGTTGTCATCTAACTATTTTAAAGCTAAGAGCGCATGTCTACAAACATATCAACCAACTGACAACACTTCAAAATGTCCATTCTTTCCCCAAGTCTTAAATCTCCCTGGTCTCTCCTACTTTTTATTATACTTAAGGTATTTTTTAAAACCAACTATAAAAATTTAAAAATATAAACATATCTGATCAGAAATAATCAAAAAAGGTAATTTTCAATAAGTTGTTTTCTCAATAGATCCTTCCTCTTTCCCCATGTGTTCAACATTTAAATATCTTATTTGTCAGTGCACAGTGGGCCAGAATTCACATTTACTGGACAATATTAATAACTTATCAAATATAGAAGATTTAATGGCCATTTTTGTTCTATACGCTAATTTTAGGATCACAGTTCCAACAGTAACAGAGCAACAAATACTGATCTGTTGATTAGATCAGGATTTGTTGCTCTTTCGGATGATTTTGGCAGAAATTTTCAAGCTCATTCAGACAAGTCCTATGGGTAATGTCTGTTGTTATTTCATTTCCATTTATTAATACTTTGCGCACAGGTTGAGGAATGTAATACCAAGGATAAAGGGGTACATATAGTCAAACAGTGTCAAAACATTAGTCCCTGAAATAGGAGCAGTCTAATTTATATCCTGAAGAAAGTATTACCTAGACAATGTAAAATCTGAATATATGGTTTTGATTAAAACCATATATAATATATAATAGTTTTTTTTCTTATTCTCCAAAAGCACACCTTAAAGTGTGTTGTCATCATATTTGTTACAGAGCCATCATTTTAGGGAAATCAACAAGTCAAATATGTTCATAAAGTCAGTTTAAATCTTCTTAGTTACTTTTTCTTGATATGTTATTTAGATCTTGCTTACTGCTCTCTTGTTTCCTTTTTATATGCAGTGTGCAAAATCATCCCAAAAACTCCAATCCTGGTATAGAGACTGGAAGTATTTGGATTCTCTTTGAGTATATTCTTTATTTATAATATAAGGACAACACACACCGAAAAACATTGAGATTAGTTAGTCTCTTCAGATAATATAGTTTAAAGCATCAATTACTGTAGTTAAAAAGTTAATTTTACTTTATTTGGAGATTTACAAATGTCTAATATAATCATACTCAAGCCTTTAACCTTTTGATATGATAATCTTCTTTGAACACAGGTTCCTTGGAGTCTTTCTTGTATGCAAATCTTAAGGATCTGCAATAGTTTGTGGATGGTGATTTTTGATTTCTCAAAGTATGCACTGTTTCAATGCTGTTATAAAATCCAGTCAAATCTAATCGGTCTAAACAGGTAATGAATAATTATTTATACTAATTTAAGGTATTTAAGATGTAATGAGTCTGCATTTAGTCACAAAGGTTGATATTTACTTGAACAAAACCAGGGGTTTACCTGCATATGATGCACCCTATGAATATTTTATCTTTAATTAAAATTCATGTTATATACACGTATACATTTTATTTACTTTATAGAATTCATTTTATATAAACATAGTTTCACTTGCAGAAACAAACAGAGACATTTTTTTGTACAAGAAAAAATTTTATGCATTAATTTTTATTTTAAAATTAAATAAGTTTATTGGTTTATAAAATCAAGGTTTTCTGATTTTTGTTATTTATTTTTATTATTATTTTGATCTTTTTAATAATATTTTTTTTAAATTGTATTTTATTTATTTTTTGTTTTATCAATTAAATTTATTTTCACATTTTTAATATCTTTATATTTTTTATTTAAATTATATAACTAGCAAAATTTTTTTGGTACTTTTTTGGTATTTCATTATGTCTAAAATGACGAATTTTTTATACACAACCATCAAAACATCTTTTAGACAGTTTTATGAACCATGGGCTTTATTTATTGATGGCGAACGCTCAAGTATTATTCCTGTAATGGCTCGTGGTAATTGATTTCTTTTTTTAAATTGCTTTTAAAAGTTATTGTTAACTATGTTGTTCTGTAAACTATTTATATATCAATGTTATCTGCTTTTTGATTTTTTTTTGTTATGAAATGTTTTAGGATTAGCTTCCATTGTTTTTGCAATTGACGTAAAAAACTCTTCGCTAAATCGACCTTTTAAGCAGGTTCTCTATTTTTTATTTTTAAAATTTAAAATATAAATTGCATTTGACTTAAAGTTATATGTAACTTAATTATGAATTTTTTTTACTCTTTTGATCTGTTATGTGCTTTATTATCTGTTATTATTATTAACTCTGTCTATAAGATATCTGTTCCCAATGGCTCAACAAAAAGTGAGAAAGTTGCAAGTAAAACTCATCGTAGAGTTAATTCGAGTCCAATGCTACAGCAATGTATAGCAGGTATGTATGCTGGTTTTTTCCAAATAATATTTTTTTGTTTCTTTATTTAAATTTTTTTATTAACAGAACCTTCCATAATGAAAAAGATTAATATGAAAAAGAAAAAGAAAAAAAGAGCAGTTAGTGCAGAAATAACTGATCTTGATGATGGGAGTAATCTTTATTCAGATTCATCTCGTACAGAATCATCATCTTATACTGAAAACACTTACTGCTCCTATATCACAGCTAACATGTTAAGTAAGAACAAATCATCTACGAATCAAATACAAACACATCGTAGAAAAGCTTCAGCTCCAAATTCTCAAACCATTTTTAACACTTCTCAATTTGAAGATTTGAAAAATTTTTCAATTAAAGACTCTCATTTAATAAACTCAGAAAATATTATAGATAATAAGGAAAATAATGTACGTTCCTGTATCCAAAAAAAAGGCTGCAATGTTGAACTAAAAACTGAAACAAAAGAAATGGTTCAAACACTTTGTACTAAAAACTCTTTTGAGCAGAAAGATAAAATAGGAAATTTGAAAGACAGCAATAATTCAGAGGAAACAAGACCAAGGACGGGAGATGTAGTATCAGATGATATATTAAATGTGAAAGAATTTGAACTAAAAGTAGGTTATGAAGATAATGAAAATTATACAAAGGGTTCTTTTGTTCCAGAAAATGATGACGTGTTTGAAAAAAACTTTCAAGTCAGTTTAACAAGGCTAAATTCAGGGGAGAAGCAACCAGGGAAGAAGCATTACCAACTAGAAAATTTAGAAAAGTATGAAGTTGATAATGAAAGAAAAATATCAATTGAAAATCAAGAACAAAAAAGGTTAATTTAGAAAATTATTTTTATGAATATAACTATTTTAAATAGATTAAATTTTTTTTTTTTTTAATTTTATTTAAATGCTTTTTTATGTTTTTTTAAAAACATTTTATTGCATGCTAATTAAATTTTTTGTTGTAGTGCTATAAATTATTTTTGTATTGCTAAATTTTTTTTTTAACAGTATAGTAATTAAAAAAGGTTTTTGTTTTGTTATTAAACTTATTATTGTTTTTGAACAATTTTATTTTGATTTTTGTTGTAGTTTAGTTACTAAAAATTTTTATGGTAAAAACACAGAAAACGTTTCTTTTGAAATTAAGTCATCACCTGAGTGCATAGAAAGTTTTATACCATACGATGAAATTTCCACAAGAGCTGCATCTGATATGTTACCATTATTGGTATGTAGTAATATAGATAAAGTGTTTCCTGTTTATCAATTACCAGAAGAAGAGAAAAATTTAAAAGGGTATAATATAATTTTAAAGATTTAGTAACATATTTTAATCTAATTTTTTTTATGTTTATCTATTTACACTGTTTTATTTATTATTTAATTTTTGAATATACACAACTAAGAGATTATGAGAAGCTCTGAAATTTTCAGGAAAGTAAATAAATGGCTTTGCATTTTATTTTTTTCCCAAGCATTTTTTGTTAAACTCAAAATGTTTTTTGTTGTTGTTAGTTTTGAAAAAGTTTAATTGTTAAAGATATATGATCTGCATTTTTTTTACATTAGAATTGTATTATATATATGGTCTGCATTTTAATCACATTAGATTTTTTGCTTTTTTAATGTTTGTTAGAAATAACAAAAAATTTTTACTAATACAATGTCTACATTAATAAAATGTTGAAAATCAAAATAAGATCATCAAAAAAAGCCATCAACATCAACATTGTTTAACTAACATTAGACCAAATTGTTCCTTTTTATAGAATAAGTGTAATTGAATGAATGAATAGTAATGCTTATATCTGACCTCATCTAGAAATGAAAGATTCGAAACTGTTAAATCAACTTTTATGTTCCCTAGTAGAAGGTTATGTTATTAGCCAAGGAAAGGAGGTTTGTAATTCAAGTATAAAATGTACAGCTTTCTTCAACAAGCTTTAAGTATTCAAAAGTCAGCTGGTTTCAGTATTAATTTGATTTCTGAGGAAATCAAATAAATACTGAAACCAGCTGTTTTTAATAACTTTTATTTCAGAACTAACAGAAATATAAGCATAGCTGCGAAAATTGATAACAAGAGTTAAGCTCAGAGAAAGATACAGAGATTTAAGCATGGTTTCAGAGAAAGATTTATCGATGCAAGAAGAAAGAAGAATACAAAGAAGCACATTGAATTAACACTTCAATTCTCTGTAATAGAAAATAAAAAGTTGTCAAGAAAAGGTCATTGAACAATAGTTTTATTTTTAGTAATGAATAAAATTCTGATTTCTCTGACATAAAACATGCTCTTAAAAAAATTAAAGCTGAATCACATTTAGTATCAGACTATCAGTATGTGTAACTAGATCAAAGACTTTTCTACAGCACCATTAACTGTAGCTTTAAGATAAAATTTAGAAGAAATTGAACAATAGTTTTATCTTTAAAGGGATCCCAAACCTCTAAGACATGTTGTTTTCATATTAAAGAGAATGATAAAAATTGTTAAGGCTAAATTTTATTGATTAAAACAAAGGAATAAATGCATACCAAGAAAAGCTAACATTTTTATTTCAGTCAAAGCTCGTTATCTTCGTTTTGTTGTAGGCCAAATAGTTATCATAATATACACCACAATCTACAGACTTGATAATTTATTCAAGCATGCTTTATTCCTAAGAGTTCATGGTGCAATTGATTTTTTTGTTTGTTTGCGTAAGAAATCGATTATGTAATTGAAAAAAAAAGTCAATAATGTCATGTACTCTTAGGAATAAAACGTACTTGAATAAATTACAAAATACTTACAAAATAATAGTTCTGGCAAGATTTCTTAGAAAACCATTTTTTTTTTTGGTATTGTGTAGATATCATATTGCAAAGATTACACGAGTAGATATCATATTGTAGATATCATATTGCAAACATTACAAGTAGATATATTGCAAACATTACGAGTAGATATCATATTGTAGATATCATATTGCAAACATTACACGAGTGTTCAAAGCAATTTTAAAGTCTAAAGACCTTGGTAATAAAATGCTGAATAATTTTTAGCAGAAATGGGTGACTGAGTTTTATTTTAAAGTTTTAGTTAATGGTGCCATAAAGAAGTTTAAACAAGTTCATGAAAAAGACGTTGTTATAGGGACTAATCTCTTTAAACTCTGAGTTGAAACAATAAAAAATTTGAGCGCAAGTTTGTAACTTATGCATTAGCCCTTTAACCAGGTACCAATAATATAAATAATATTATTATTTTTACAAATATACTTTATATTATGATAGAAATTAAATAAAAATTTTAAATTTTCAGAAAAATTGAAGGTATATTGTAGAACATTTAGATCAATTGATAAAAGATCAAGAGCTTTAACATCTAACAGCCTGTCTGTCATCTAACATTTGCCTGTCAAATAATACAAGGTTTATGACCTATGCCATATACTTCCTAATGTTTGATTTGACATTCACAGTTATTGAATATCTAAAAGATATGATCTCAAGAATTTATTGTAGCTGTTTACTTTTCAATAAGGATTAAAGACAGAACATTTTTTTTAGTAGTTAGGGAACACAATAGAAAAAAAAAACCTGAGTTAAAAAAATTAATGTAAAGTACATGTCTTTGTATTTTTTTAAAGTTTATTTAGGTCATTTTTTAAAGTTAAAATGGAATCAAATCCCCTTAACTTAATTTTAATAAACTTCAAAATTTATATAAAAAGTTGACGATCATCAAAATCCTTTTAAAGATTGTAGTACTTTATGACAGTGAATTTCAAGTTTGTCATGGCAACATCATTAAACTAACTCTTTTTATATCTATAAAATTATCCATTATTGTTGTCATGGCAACATTATTAAACCAACTTTTTTTATATCTATAAAATTATCCATTATCAACTGGAATCAAATCTTTTTTTAATGCAACTGTGAGTTTTGAGTTCAATCACCACCACATTCCTAGTGTTGCACCTGCTCATTGATGTTCATTTTTTGGACAAAAAGTTGAGAGAGAGTTGTAACCTCAACTAAAAAAAACATAGTCTCCATGACTATAGTAGTCTTTAAGGCCTTAAAGAAAAAAACTAACAGGCGCAAAATGACTTACATTAACTGCAAAGAACACAAAGGCTATTCACTTTATTTAACAAAGTTTAACCATGATAGGTTTTTTACCAACCATGATAGGTTTTTTACCAACCATGATAGGTTTTTTACCAACCATGATATGATTTTTACCAACCATGATAGGTTTTTTACCAACCATGGTTTTACCTACCTTCCTCTGGTAGGACTCAGGAATAGTCTGAAGGGTGCCAATATCCAATAGGGTGTCCCAAAAAACAACTTTTTTCAAAAATGTCTACTCCCACCCTATAGATTCTATTAATCAATAACTTTTATTTTTATTAAAAAAAAAAATCAAAACAAAATCAATCACTAGTTTAAACTTTTATATGATGGTAACTTTTATGACAGTAAATAAGACTTAAAATGTTATAAGTAAATCTTGATGAGAAATATAAATTTAAAATAATAATTATCTCTTACATTTTGTACCAAAAAATCATATAGGATAAACTTCAACTTTCTATTTGTTTGTTTTTAAGTAGTTTTTTGTTCTACAGCTCTTAAATATATTAATACCTTAAACTCTTAAATATATTAATTCCTAAAACTTTTAAATATATTGATACCTTAAACTCTTAAATATATTAATACGTTAAAGCACAAAGTGCTATCTCCACTTTTTTATCTCCATTTTTTGATATTTTTGGTAATTGTAAAAAGAAAGTTTATTGTCTCCTAAAACTGTTATTACAAAAAACTAATGTTTGAGGTTTTTATTTGACCAATTATAATAACAGTAAAATGTTAAAATTGAAAGATTCTTCTTTTTTGCATTTTAATGGATACCAATATCACTTTAAAAAAAAAAAAAATCACTTATCACTTCACAAAAAAATCACTTAACGTCTGTTCACAAAAAATCCGGACTGATTTCAAATGTACACAAATTGTTCTAAATTTCGAATTTTCGATTCGAAATTTTTAAATTTAATCGGTCAACAACAACAGTTTCATTTTGTGGCAAAATTGAGTTTAAATAATTAATTCAAATAAACATGGAGCATCTAAAAGAGAATGATGTTAGAAATGTGATTGGAAATTTTTATAAACAAAACATAAACAGTTGAAAGAAATTTACAGTGGATCATTTTAAGAAAATGGGAATCGCTAAATCTACAATTTATCACATAATTAAAAGGTCTGAAAATAATTTGCCAATGAAAAGAAAAATCGGTTGCGGCAGAAAACCTTTTAAAATCACACCAGAATAGATAGAGTCCATGATTGCAAGAGCAGAAGAGAGAATCAGGATTTCGCAAAGAAAATTGGCACTAAAATATAAGATAAGCATTTCATATGTTAATAGATTATTGAGTATGCATGGACTGAAGTATACCAAAAAAAAAAAAATGCACTAAAAACAACAGAAAAGCAAGAAATTAAACAAAAAAAAAACTTATTAAAACTTTCAAAAACTTTTTTCAAGCCATCAAATGAGTTTGAAATCATCATGGACGATGAATCTTATTTCTGTGTAAATGGTGCAAATTGTTCACAAAACTATGGCTACTATACAAAGGATAGTTCTCAAACTGATCCTAACATTAAATTCAACTTCAAAAAAAAGTTTGACGAGAAAGTTCTCGTTTGGATTGCAATCAGTCGTTTCGGTGATTCATCGCCTTATTTTGCTGTAAAAAACTGTGCACTGGATGCAAAAACTTATTTTAAAGAATGTATTACAAAAAGACTTTATCCATTTATAAATTCCAAGCATCAAAACATGAAAATTTTATTTTAGCCTGACGGAGCGAGGTGTCATTATGCAAAACACACATTAGAAACTTACAACACTTTAGGTATTAACTTTGTCGACACTAAAGATAACCCCCCAAATGTACCGCAGGTAAGGCCAATTGAAAATTTTTGGGCACATTTAAAAGCAAAAGTTTATGGAAATGGATTTACTGCGAAAAATCTTGACCACTTTAAGAATAGAATTCGATTAAAGTTGAAAGAGTTCGATCCAGACTACTTTTTCAACCTAATGGATTCAGTCAAAACTAAAGTTCGAAAAGCCGCTGATTTAGGACCACTTTCGGTTATAAAATAGTTAATGATGTCCAGTCTCTCATTTTAGTTAAAATTTTTTGTCAAAAATTGATTAATTTTGTATTCAATTAAGAACAATTTTTCATTTCGGATTTTTTGTGAACAGACGTTATCAAGACTCCTGAACATTTGACAGGCTCAGTATTATCAATATCATATTCTCTAATTCTGTTGAAAAAAGTATTTTTGGAATGTGTCTTAACTCAGTCATCAAAAAATGAAAAAGCGTAAAAGTTTCAAGTTAATTATAATTTTAAAAAAAATTGTATAATCATAAAATAAAGTTCAATGAACCTTATTATTTAAATATAAATTGCGTTAATTATTTTCTTATTTTCTTATTTTCTTAAAAACTTATTTTTGTGCTTTTGAAATTCTTTAAATACTTTCTTTTATTTCTTTCATGATTCTTTTATTTCTTTCATGATTCTTTATTGCACTTTGATTAGAGCCTGTATACTTAATTTTTTTATTGCACTTTGATTAGAGCTTGTATATTTAATTATAAAATTTAAAAAATTATTAACAAAGGTTCTGAAATGGTTCATTAACCAAAAAGTCATAAAAAAGCAGTTTGAATTTTTTTTTTTTTTTAATTTAAAATTAAAATTTACAAGAACAATAATAGTAATAAAATAAATATAATAGAAAGCTGTAGTAGTTTGAAAACTACGGTTGAAATTAATAGTAATTAATTCCACTTTGACAGCATATAAATTGTGTAGTTATTCTAGGTAAATAAATTAAAATATAAAAATAAAATATAAATAATAAGAAAAAAAAAAAAAAAGAAATATAAATACTTTTTTTTTTTAAAAGAAGTTGAAAACAAGAAGTTAAAAAATACAGGAGACTTGATTATTTAATTTTTTTTTGCGTTTTTATCTTATGATTAATATTTAATTATTTTATAGTTTTTAAAGTTTTTTTAAATAATTTTTAAATAATAATTTTTTTAAAATAAAATTTCTTTTAAAAATTTCTTTTTTATTTATTATTAAGTTTGTAAGTTTAAGGACTGATAAAACATTTTCTAATTTACAGACCAATAAAACATTTGATATAATTGACCCTCAAAATAAAAAGTTTAAAATCTGCCAAAATTTTTTTTCATTTAACCTTCCCTGAAACCTAGTGCTTTTATTTATGCCTAGTTTTATTTTAATTTGCTTTATTGTGTTTTTTAGTAGTTTTGGAGAATTATTGACCAAGGAATTTCCACAGGTGTTTTTGTTAAATATTGATTTTGCTTAATCAGATACCTAATTTTATATTGTTATATTGTTTTACATGGTATTAGTATTGATTATTGTTTTAATTTCTATTATTACTAGTAATTTATTTTCAATGTTTATTTTTTTTTTTAGAATGCCCCAGAAAGTTTGTCAATTGGTTGGTTTAAAATTGTTGAAATTTATAATAAATACTTTTAATTTAATTCTTTAAAAAAAAAAAAAATTACTGTGATGGGAGAATGGGAACAAGAAACTTTAAAATCTTAGCCCGCCCTGCCCCAAACGTGAGAGAAGCAAGTTGATGAAATAATTTTTGTACTGCTTTTAACTAGACTTATCTATATATATTCATCAAGAAATTTTAAATTTCATAGTAAAATATTTTTGTGTTCAAAAATTATGCCCACATGAAGTTTAAACCCCCCTCAATTTGAGGGGGTTGCAAACTTTATTTGGTCATAACTTTTGAACAGTAAAATATTATACTATATAATTTAAAATTTTGTGATGAATAAAAGTCTAGTTGGAAATAGTACAAAAAATATTTCATCAAGTTGTTTCTCTCACATTTCGGGCATGCAGGGCTAAGATTTTAGGGTTTTTTGTTCCCATTCTCCTATCTCAGTAATTTTTTTTAAAAGAATCTTTATGTCATACATATGAACATAAAAAAATTTGGAATATTCTTGTTTATAAGTTGGTTATTTTAAACATTTAAAAACCTTCCTACGCTACTGCTAATAATGTGTTATAGTTATATATATTTTTTATTTTTCCTTTAAAGTTTTGAATCTATTTATGTTAAATTTGTTTCTTTACTAAAATTTCTCTTTACATTAATTTACAACTCATCAACATTATTTTTTATACTTTTTTATGACTTTATTTAGATGATTTAAAGCAAGCAGTTTTGGCCACAGTAAAAAAAAAAGACGATGTTGAACAAAAAAATTTGTAATTTTAAATTTATATTTATTTTGTTACAGAATTTTATTTTACATCATTAACTAATTTATGTAATTGGTTGCATAATTTACATTATAGTTTACATCATTTACATTATCATATCATTTTTATTTTTCATTACATCATTTATATTATTATTTCATTTATATCATTGATTACATCATTTGTATCTTTAATTACAACATTTGCATTTTAATTACGTCATTTATATAATTAATTACATTCTTTATTTTATTAATTACATCATTTATATTATTAATTACATCATTTAAATGATTAAATACAACATTTATATCATTAAAAGCATCATTTACATTTTTAATTACATCATTCATATTATTAGTTACATCATTTATATCATTAATCACGTCATTTGCATTATTAGTTGTGTCATTTACATTAAAATTATGTCATAAACATCATTAGGAGTGATATTTGGACAAATACTAAATATTTACTTTTAAGAGTTGATGAAATACTCCTGCTAGACTGACAAATAAAAAAGTTAAAATTATTTTTGGATAGAGTTGAAAGCTCTATCCAAAAAAAAATTTAACTTTTTGTCAAATTGTATAAAAATGTATAATAATAATTTGAAATGTATAAAAATAATTTTATCTTTAAATAGTTTGAATACTTACAAATTCAGCGGAATCTGAATTTGTAAGTATTCAAACTATTTAAAGATAAAATATTTTGGAAAGCCAAAGATATATATATATATATATATATATATATATATATATATATATATATATATATATATATATATATATATATATATATATATATATATATATATATATATATATATATATATATATACATATATATATACATATATATATAAATATGTACATATATATATATATATATATATATATATATATATATATATATATATATATATATATATATATATATATATATATATATATGTATATATATATATATATATATATATATATATATATATATATATATATATATATATATATATATATATATATATATATATATATATATATATATATATGTATATATATACACCTTGTACAGAAAGTTTAAACGCACTTGTTTTTTTAAAAGTTAAGGTATGTTTAAAGTAATACAAAGAGAAAACATGAGGCAGGGTCCAGGTTTTTTTTTTTTTAAATATTCTTAGTCGATTATTAATTAAGAAAAAAACACAACTTTGAATAAGAAAAACACAAAATCTTTTCTGAAATTAAACAACAAACTCAAGTAGTCAAAAGATTACTTTGAAGAAAGTGCAATAAAGTTTAAAGGCACATACAACTTCTTTTAATCGAAATATATTAATACAGAATATAACCCCCATTGTTTTTAATACATGCTTGTATTCGCCTAGGCATTGATTCGATTAAGTTTTCAATCATCTTGATTGGTATTTCAAGCCACAGTTTGGTCAGTTCTTGTTTGAGCATTTCATGACTAGTTATTTGCTTTTTTGTTAGTTGATAATCGATCCAGCTCCATAAATTTTCAATTGGGTTTAAGTCTGGTGATCGTGCTGGCCAAGGCATAAGTTAAATATTACTTTTAAGGAAATAATCAGTGATTAAATGCGCTGTATGGCATGGAGCATTGTCTTGTTGAAATAACCAGTTTTGATCAGCCTGGAACAAATCGCGACTAGGGATAAGCGCGTTTTCCAACAGGTCACGATACTCATACTGTCTTAATCTTCCTTCGTATATTTTATGACAGCCAATGCCTGAGCCTGATATACATCCCCATATGCCGATGGAACCACCGCCTTTTTGAATACGGCTTAATAGGTGTTGCTTCAAATCTTTTTCTGTATTTTTGCGACGAACAAATCTCTTGTTTTTTCTGTTAATAATTTCAAAATTCGATTCATCACTAAAGATAATCATTTTCCATTGTTCTACTGAATAATTTAAACGCTCTTTGCACCATTTTTTTCATCTTTGGCGATTGGTTAACGTCAACAATCGCTTTCTTACTCAATGAAACGAATTTAATTCTTTCTTGCGTAATAACTTATAGTTATTCGACTAACTGTAGGTAACTGCGGTAGTGGTGTAGTGGTAGAGCGCTCGCTTCATAAACGAGTGGTTCCAAGTTCGATCCCCACCACGTCCCTGGTAGTACCGCGCTCAACTCCTTTCTTCGCGCAGCGGCCTTGTTCGTCAAGGTTCGTGTTTCAGAGTTATAGAGTTGAGAGAGGGTTATAGCCACAAATAAGTAGCCTCCTCGTCTGTAGTGGCCTTCTCGGTCTTGAGGAGGTGAATTAAAAAAAAAAAGACTGTTTTGTCTGCCAGCGAACTATTGATTTCTGCACTTAAAGTTGATACTCCCGCCTTTGGGTTACGTCCTGCTTAGCATGTAAAGCAGGACAGTTTTCATTGCGTGCTGTCAGTTTTTTCGGACGCCCAGTACGAGGTTTATCATTGACACTACCAGTTGATAAATAATTTTTTGTTGTTGAACGAACGCTGAATTCAGAAATATTTAGGCGTATGCCAAATTCTCTATTGCTTATTTTCATTTTATGCATTCCAATGACTTGCCATTTTGTTTTCGACGAAACAGCTTTTTTACCCATTAAAATATGATATTTTGGCAAAGCTGTATCAGTTGAAAATTGCTATATTTTAAATCAAATCGTATTTGTGTTTTTTATTCTAAATAAAATAAGAATAGGAATCCAAATGAAATATACTAACGTTACCAGGCTATTGGGTGATAAAAATGCAAAAGACTTCAATAAAAAATCTCTCAATAAACGAGTTTTACGCGTTTTCTTATCAAAGTGCGTTTAAATTTTATTTCAAAAAATTATAATATCCATACAACTTTTTTTATATCTAAACTAACAACTTATAGCCATAGTATAAATAAACATAAAAATACAGAGCATATCTCATTAATTTATAGTGATATCATTTCCTAAAAGTATTATATAAGTAAAAAAAACAAGTGCGTTTAAACTTTCTGTACAAGGTATATATATACATATATATATATATATATATATATATATATATATATATATATATATATATATATATATATATATATATATATATATATATATATATATATATATATATATATATATATATATATATATATATATATATATATATATATATATATATATATATATATATATATATATATATATATATATATATATATATATATATATATATATATATATATATATATATATATATATATATATATATATATATATATATATATATATATATATATATATATATATAAATGTTAAATTCAGGGGCACCCATTACACCTGCTTTTAGCGACCACTTTCATATATAGATTTTGTTTGATTTTATAAATTAAATTAAATTTATTTTAAGATCAATAATATAAAAAATTTTTAAAAAATAGTTTATTTAAAATTAAGATTAATTATATTCACTCAAAATCAAAATATGTAAAAAAATTTAATTTAATATATATTTGTAATTAAATAAACACTTATTATTATGTGTGAGGTGAAATTTTTTGTCAATTCACCTATTTGTTGTGAAATCAGTTAGAATCCTTTGATCATTCTTAATGTGCTTCCACTTAGCACTTCTTCACTCTATCACCTTCTCTTTGTTCTTTATCGTACTTTCAAGAACAAATGACTATTTATTATTGCAAGAAATCAATGTAAAAAGGTGCTGTCAGATGCTGTCAGATCCATTATTCTCAGTTCTCTAAATCTTGTATCTTATCTCAGAAGTTAGGCTTTACAAACCTTTGGAAAATATTCAATAGGGTCTTAACAAAGGTCTAACATTCCATCTCTCATTCATGAGAGTGATCTTATTATCTCTCCCTAGGATAAGGCAAAACTGTATGCAAAGAACTTATATTTTAATTCAACTCTCAAATCTTATGACCATTCTCTTCCTTCCATTCCAATTAAACAGGTTAACCCATTGTTAAACATTTAAATCAATCTAGCTTCCGTTGCTTCCATCACATCTTGATTAAACTCTTCTATGACTACTTGAAGTTTAAGGTGTATGTTAAGATGGTATTAAATATATCTATTTATAAAAAATATTAAAATAATAAAAATAGAAGGAATTTTTAATACATTAAATTTTTAAATTTTCAAAATTTTAGAGATTTACAAAGAGCTTTGGATGAAGAACGAAACATAAACAGATGTTTAAAAAATGATCTTGAGTGTGCCACTATTAAGATTAGAGAAAAAGAAGATACTATAGAAAAAAAGCTCACAGAAACATTGCAGGAAAATGAAATTTTAAAAAATCAGTTAAAAAAGTATGTAGCTGCTGTAAAGATGCTGAAAAAAGAGAATGGATTTACAATTGATTTTATTGATGGTAAATTAGAATTTTACTTGCAAAGTTAAAAAGTTAAATTCTTTTTAAATAAAATTTTTTTATAAATATTTTAAATTGTAATTTCAAATAATACTAGGTTATGAGGTTGTGGATGTTTCAACAAATAATAAAAACGATACATATGACACTTATGAAGAAAAGTTATCACAGGTTAAAATTTTTTAGTTTTATCTTTTTATTCATTTGCTTCCGGACCTCAAGTGGGAAGTCTGAAAAATGGGCTTCATGGTTTAGAGTCAATTACTGATAACAATATGTTAAAATGCACATAATTTATTTACAAAATATTAAAATAGATATTGTTAATTTATTGACTAGAAAGTTAGTTATTTATTGACTGATGGGATAGTTATTTATTGACTGAGAATAGATTGATGGGTTAGTTATTTATTGACTGGGACATGGTTTGATGGCGTCAGGTATTATAGTTCTTTTTTCATTATATATATATATATATATATATATATATATATATATATATATATATATTATATATATATATATATATATATATATATATATATATATATATATATGTAAAAAAAAAGCATTGAGATTAATTTAAGTTTTATTGTAAATTTTTATATTTTTATTATACTTTAAAGCTTTTTCAATACCTGTTTAACTTTTTTAGCATTGTATTTTAAATATTGTTGGAGCTGTCAAATTTAAACATGTTATAACACAAATGTATTTTGAATATTGTTGGAGCTGTCAAATTTAGACATGATATAACACAAATGTATATGTAATTAGACATAAAAGACAAAAATATTTTTTTTAAAAAAAGTATATTAAAAATTTATTTGTTTTTATTATATTATTAGTTTTTTCATAGATGGCTGAGTTGCATGGAGAATTAATGGAATTCCAAGAACATTTGCAAAAGCAGTTGATAAGCCAAGATAATCAAATATCTCGTATGAAACAGGAACTTGTATCTCTGAGAGGTCCTCTACCAATTGATCTTTTACCATCATCTACATCAGCTTACTTTTTTATAAAAAATTATTTTACTCCAAACCGTTTGGTTAGTATTTTGGTTCCCTCTGTTTTTCTAAAAAGAAAAGGCACAGAGTCTCATCATCTATATCAGGTGCGCTCTTAATTTATGTTATGATTTATGTTTACATTTATGATTTTTTGGAATATATTTTTATATTTATGATTTTAAAAATATCTAAACAAATTGCTGATTTATTTCTGCATAATTTAAATTTAGTAAATAATGGATTTTTGATGTTGACATTTTTTGAACTAGTAAAGTATGTTTTTAGCAAAAATAGATTTAAGAACAGAAGTTACCCATGAATACCCTTAAGAATACCAGAAGCTGCACATGGTTTATATTGAAGTTTGATTTGCTTTTATGTTAATTTTTTGTAGGAAACATCAATCTAATACTTTTTCAAATGTCTATAGAAAAAGATTTATAGATTCATTTATGTTATCATCTTATATTATGTGAAGTTTCCAGTTAATATCATAAATTTATTGGATAAAAAAGTCAGAATTAAACTTGAAATTAAGTAGTGTACCATTTATTTTTTGACTTTGTTGAACAATGCTCAATGCTAAATCCTTGTATGGTAATGTCAGTTATCCTCTGTGTATGAATTAAACTCGGTAAATCTTATCACCATGGGGGAGTATTAATGGTACTAATAATAAAATAAAGACTGAAATAAAGATAAAATAATAATAATAAAATAATAATAATAAAAATAAAATAAAGACTGAAATAAAGATAAAATAAGACTGCAGAAATCATTGATGTGAAATGGTAGAGAAGAAATATTAAGATGGAAGTAAATTTACAAGGATTAATAGATTTATTTAGTTCATTAACTTCAAGGTATTTGAATTAAGTTTTTGGATTTAACACATTGTTCATGTTTCTGAATAAATTTTTGAGGCAATCAATTCAATAAGTGGCAATCAAGTTCATAAGAATTTATTAATTCTTGCAGAAAGAGTCAAATTAAGTTCTAGGTTAGAAATCATACTAAATTACATATTGTTTGATATACAGTTGACAAAACCATTTAGAAAGTCATTGGAAAGCAGATTATAAGTATGTTTGTCAAATGGAACTATGATTATTATTTTACTGTAGCAAAAATTACAATGTTGATAAATTTCCATGATTTTGATGGTAAAACCGTTTATATATAATATGAATATACAAAAAATCAGTTTTTCAAACAATAAATAGAAAATATAAAAAATGAATTTGTCAAACAATAAACAGAAAATGAATAAATCAGTATCCAATAATAGTAAACAAAATAGTAAGTTAATTATATTTTATAATTAGTCAAATTGTAAGTAAAAAGTACAAGTAAAAATGCAGTTTATATTATAAACTAATAACAAAATAAAAAACAATAGATAAAATTAAAATAATATATATCAGTAAATGTGTAAGAATGATAAAAATATAATAATAATCAAAAATAGAAATTAATAAAAATTCTTTAATAGATTGTCTAATAATAAATAATATATTAATTAAATGCAATAATATATTAAATAAATAAAATATATATTAAATAAAATAATAAGAGATAATACAACTGAAATATGAATTAGTATATAGTTAATGATAAATTACTATATTATAAATTAGTATATAGTTAATGATAAATAATCAAAAATATAATATGAAAAAGCAAATAGTCAAGTTAGTAAATTAAATAAGAAACACAAAAATAATAACAATGTAATAAAAATGTTAGCAACTAAAACAACCAATCTTCTAATTCTTTTTTTTTTTTTTCTTTCCTTTTTTTAAAATTGTTTTGCTTTTTTTTCTTATTTATTTAGTTTTTTGCTCTTTTCATTTTTCTTTGTTCACTTACTTTTCTTTCTTTTTTTTTATTTCATTTTTGTTTTTAAATTATAAGTTCTTTAAATTCGAAATTGTTGTAAAATATCTTGAAATTGTAATGAAAAAGATGGTCGCAATTATAAATTTAATTTGACAACCCTTCTAAAATAACATTAGTTATTATTTTTTGCATTATAAATATGAATTCTTCTAAATTTTAGTGTTTATTTATATTAACTGTTCCAGAAATGCATAATTCATTGTATAGATTTTTTTTGGTATTGCAAAGTTTTAATTTTTTCTGCATTTTGTAGGTATATACTCGTATTGGGGAAGAAGAATGGAATGTTTACAGAAGATATTCACAATTTAATAAACTTCGAACACATGTAACTTTTTTAAACTTCGAACACATGTAGTTTTTTAACACTTAAAACACATTTAATTTTTTTCATATTGTTTTTTGATTACTTCACATTTTATTGCATTTTCAATTTTTAATTTTCATAAATTTTTAGGTATCAAAAATGAATCTAAAAACATTAGAGAAATTTGATTTTCCGAAAAAAAATGTTTTTGGGAAAAAGGTTTATTTTGTATTATATTCTATAATTATGTTGTAAAAAATTACTTATGCACTTCCCTACTCTTGATTGGTAATTAAAATTTGGATTTAGTTTTAATGTATTTTTTTTTGTACCAAAATAAACATAAAATAAATATTATTATTATATAAATATTAAAATATATAAAAAGAAGATAAATTTAATTAGGTGTTGCAATCCTGGAGGACTTTTCTAATCGTGGGGTTTTTATTGCTGGCAGGAAAACATGTTAATTTAATGTTAGGTGTAAGGAAACAAATTATGTTTTATATGTTTTGAAATGTGACTTCATGAAGCACACACATCTAAAGTTTCATCGCCTAAGCAGTTATGACTTTTTGTAATTAAACCTCAATACTTTAACAAAGTATAAACTTTGATGTAGGTTTTGCAGAATGCAACTTGTCAGTTCAGCTTTCATGTATACAAATCATTAAAACTGCATTTTTTTGCTTGTGTTATTGTCAGTATCTTTTAATTTAGTAAGCATAAAATTAATAGCAATGTTGGCTGTACATAGCTTAGAATCCCAACAATTTGTATGCTGTGGCGAAGCATAATTGTTGTTTAGCAACTATCAACCTTTTTTCATAACACTAGTTCTGTCTGTCATTTTTTGACCACAATGTCATGCACAGTGGGCCAGTGAGTAGACCAAAGTCAGAAAACTTATGTCTGATTTTTTTCATTAAACTGGTTTTAATCATCATTGATGTGTTAAGTATCAATGTTTATGAATTTTATTGGTAAAGTTGGGCGATACAGAAACTTTGTAAAAAAAAAAATTTAATAATAATAGAATTTGTCAAAAAATTGGCAAAAAATTTACAATACTTTTGTATATTAAATATTTTTAATATTTTTAGATTAATCAATTGTATTCTTGCTTGCATTTTTAGAAGTAGAACAAAATTATTTCAACTTGAACAATTACAAACCTTTTTGAATTATATTGATAAATTAATTTTTTTTTTACTTTAGAATTTTTTACTTTAAAAAATTATCTTTGAATACAGTAAGCAATTGACTGCAACTGCAAAATTAAATGGTAAATTCATGCAGAAACATTTAGTCTTGCTTTGTAACTTAACTTTTTTTAAACAAAATGTTTGTTTATGCAATACAGAAAACACACTTAACTTGCTCTTTGCAAGTCAGGTAAATTGTTTGAGGAATCATCAGATGAATTTAAGAAGCAAAGAGTGGCAAAACTTAAATAAGCAAACTCTTTAAATGAGCTGTTATATGCTAGTATTTGCAAATTTTATAATAAGTTGGAAAAAGAAAAGATGTTAAGGTAGTTAGAAATTTGTCAAAAATTTAAACATATAAACATGCTCAAAATATTTGCAATGAAGCCTTAGCATTAATGTTAGATATTAATATGAGCAAATCTGATTATCAGCGTTTAAGAAACAAGGCCATAAGAAAAAGTTACAATATATATCCATCTCATAATAATGTATGCAAAGCAATAGAACTGTCTTCCAAAACATGTGAACTGTCACTGACGATGCTGCAGAAGTCAACATGTCAGAGTTGGTCACACAGCACTGAGTTTCATCAAATGTCAGAGAGAAATCATTAAGTCATTAAAAAGCCTTCATTAAGGTTGGCAGTTTTAAATATTTAGGTTGGTTCAAGCTGGAGTAGTTTATAAGAAAATAAGAGTTAAAGGGTTGTCCATAAAGTACTTACACTTTTATTTTGACCCTACACTCCCCTTCCCCCTCCTGCATTTTGTTAAACACTTTTTTGAGTAGTATCTACCCCTCTAAAAGACCTATGCTTTTAACCTACCTAGCCAACATTTTATCATTTTTTTTTAATTTAGTGTCTCCTTACTTTTATAATTGACCCTTGCTCCCCATCTCATAAACGTCACTTGCAGTCCCCTTCTCCCACATCCGAGTGCACGTAATTTTTGGGCGATCTCTAACTCAAAAATAAAAAAATCCAAAACTAGTTGCTATATTATTTGAAAAATAAGTTTGAAAATTCATTATAAATAAACCGCTTTAAAGCAATTTTTTTGTAGAATTGCAAAGAATTGCATCATTAAAAATAAATAAACGTAAATGAAACTAAAACTTACCAATGGTTTATTTATTTTTTTCTGCATTAAGTTAAAGTTTTCAAGCTAAAAAGTTAAATAGTTTTTTTTTTAACTTTAACACAAAAATATCTAAAAAGTATTTTTAATAAATTTTGATAATTTAAAACCAAATAAGTTGCAACCATATTTCTTATTTACATAAGTTCATTTAATTTTATGTAAAAGGCTTTTATCTAAAACTACCCATTTTTAGAGGGGAGAGTATGCACCCATGATCCTAAAAATCTGTCAGGCCAACTTACTGAATATATGTTTTTATTTTAATCTCTAAAATAACAGTACATAATAGCAAATTTTATACCTTATTATAATTCAATTATCATTTTTTTACCAGAATATTTTAAGTAGATTTAAAATTATAAAAACTAAGAATGCTCAATTTGGATCATGGGTGCATACCAGTATGCTCCCTTGATCCTACCTATATGCACCCTTGATCCTATGTATGTATACTTGATTCGAGATCAAATGTATACCATGATTGTATAAGAATAATTTTTAAGTCATCAAAACAATGTCTATAATAAAAACCAATAAAGTTATTATTAATTTTACTACAAATTTATCTTTCTTAAAAAAGTAAAATTTAATGAAAAAAATGTTATTTTTTACTGAGACTCAACGTTTTTATTTTCATTACTTTCAAGATCAAGTTTTCTTTTTCTTGTCATGAAGATCTTATTTTGCATTTCATGTTTTTTCTTTTTTGACTGAGATTTTTTTTTTATTTCCTGAAGCTTATTTAACTCATTTCGAACAGGAGTGTCTGTGAGTATTCGAGTACGCTGACGTTTACGTCCTTTAATGGATTTCCTTGATCCAGCTTTTGGAAATGGCCTAATTTTTTCTAGACTTGCTTGATGAGAGATATTATTAGAAACACTGGATAGTTGACTTCCAGGGTCAGATATAGGCTGAATAGGCAATACACTACAAGCTGAACCAGATGACAGACTTGACATCAATGATTGATTAAAAGCTGGGGCATGAACTGGATCAACAACACCTGGAAAAGGGTTAGCAGTAATAGGTTCTGGACGGTCTGTTACATATGAAGACAAAAACTCATTATCAGAAAATATGTTAGGATTAAAGGGTTCAATTCCTGCCACAGCAAATCCTACAGAAATGTTAGACAAATTAAAAGATTGTGCATAGGCTTTCCTTACAACTGAAGCTATATCATATATGGTCATCGGTCTTGGATTAGATTCAATCCAATCATCACAGGCTGCATTGTAATAACGTTTCAGTGGCCCATATACTGACCGATCTAATGGCTGCAACTTATGACTACAATGTGGTGGAAAGGACAGCATAGTTATGCCATTTTTTTTAGCTAAATCTAAGCACACAATTGAAACATGGCTCTCATGGTTGTCAAGAAGTAAAAGCACTGGATTAGCTGGTGAACATTTCACATTTTGAATAAAATGTTTCATCCACTCTAAAAATGTTGCAACATTCATCCAACCAGATGGGTTTGCAACCCCAACACATCCAGGTGGACCACCATTTATCATACTTCCTTTGAAATGAACTCTTGGAAAAATAAAAAATGGAGGGATTGAGTTTCCTATTGCATTGACTGCACAACAAACTGTTACCAATGTCCCTCTTTCTGCTGAAGTTATCCTTCCAACTTGTTTATCTCCTTTTTTAGCAATTACTTTAACTGGTTTTTGAACAGTTGTGAGACCTGTCTCATCAACATTATATATGTTTTGTGGCTGAAACTTGTGTCGTAGACGAACATCTTTTAGATTGGTGAAAAATTCTCCGACTGTATAACAATTAAAAGCAGTTGCTCGTGCCATACTAATAGCTTCTGGATTTCTTAAAGATAACTCATTCCTATGTAACATAAAACCACGAAGCCACTGTTTCCCAGCAATTTGTAAACTTTTCCACAATTTAGGAATGCACTTAGAAAGAGTCATTGCAAATTCATAGGCAAGTTTTTGTGTTGTTTTGGTTGATAATCCATAGTGAAGTTTTAAGGCCCTTAAAAGATAATCTGATAAAGATGTTTCTTCTTCGTTGGTAAAGATTTGCATTATAATGAAGTTAGGTTTGCAGACTGTATATGGATTTAATTGACATTTCCTTACATATCTCTTAAGTGTCATTAAATTGATTCCCCTCTCTTTAGATACACGATAAACTGTACTACCATTAAGAACTGCATTAACAGCTGCTCGCATTTCATTCACATTAACTTTACCTCTAGGTGGTCTATTGGTTTTTCGTTTTTTATGATACACCATATTTAACTGTAAAAAAATAAAACATATTTATATAGTTTTGCTATATTCCTAACTTTTGGATAAACATTTATAAAGATTTTTACTTACTAAAATCTTCTTTATTAACAAACACCCACAGATATTTATATATATATATATATATATATATATATATATATATATATATATATATATATATATATATATATATATATATATATATATATATATATACATTGAATACTTTACAATTATATTATATAAAAGTTTTAGGAGAACAAAAAAATACAAATTAGTATAAAATCTTCATTTTAAGACTTTATTCTAGAAGAAAAAAATATATTTAAAAACAATATGACGTATTGTACATGTTACTTTAAAAGTTAAACATTTTGTGTGTGTGTGTATGCACCTTTGATCATAGGATCAAAGGACCACATTCTATATGGTGTTTATCATAAAAGTTATGTAGTATGTGATGTGTATAATTTATAAACTTTATAAATATAAAGATATACATACAATGAAACTTATAAATTTCATTGTATGCACATCTTTTTATTTGTAAAGTTTATAAATTATACACATTACATAATACATTGTATACAATATGATATCGATATAGTATATTATTTCAATATTATATATAATATAATAGTATACTATTATATTATATTATTTAATATACTATTATTATCTAATACTATACTATTATACTATATATTATAATATATACTATTATCTAATACTATACTATTATACTATTATTATCTAATATGCTATATTATTTATAATATAATTATAATGATAATATATTTATCATATTAGTATGATATACACTATATATAGTGTATACCATACTAATATGATAAATATATTATCATTATAATTATATTATAAATAAACTATTTATATAATATATTATCATGACATATATATAGTATATATGTATAGTATATACAGTGATATATAGTGACATGATATATATTATATATATACTATATATTATATAGTATATATGTTAATAATATGATATACTATATCATATGTTTATATCTTACCTTCTTTATATCTATACACTCATACATACATGTATATAATTCAAATATGTCTTGAGAACAAGAGAAGTGTATATATAGTATATAGAGTATATTGAGAACAAGAGAAGTGTATATATAGTATATATAGTGTATATATACACTACTCTTGTTCTCAAGACTATATATATTATATACACAATACACATCTCCTTTACGTACGTACGCGAAATATTTTCGGAAAAAGATGAAAAAGGTAGCTTACTTTTAAGCTTTTCTGTAGCATCTATAGATATTCCTTTTGATAACAAATACTCTGCTAACTGTAACTCTGACAACTTTTTAAAGCTCATTTTTATTAAAAAAATTTAAAATAAGAGAATGCATGCACATGCGACCTCTAAAAAGTTTAATGGCGATTGCCGCTGGCGCATAAAATTTTTTCACATTTTCAGGCAATTTACTTGATGTTTCCGGTAAAGAACCTGAACATTCCGGTAGAAAAGTTCACGAAACTACTTTTTCCTGAACATTTCAGGAATTTTACACAAAGCTAAAATACCTGAACTTTTACGGCAATTTGCCTGAATGTTTGAATTTAATTGCCTGAATGTTCAGGTAAATCTTTCTACCTGAACCATTCCGGCCAGAGTTTGCCTGAACTTTTTTAAGAGTGTATATATATTATTTACAGTGTTCATTTATCCAATTGTTTTTGTTATAAATTTTAAAAATGTCTTTTTATCATTATATTTTTTATTTACTAATGATAATTATCTTTAATTTTACAATGAATTAATTAGATAGATTGATGTTTCTGTGATACTTGTTTATTTTTGAAATATATAAACAAATATTTAAATTGCAGGATACTAAGTTCCTAGAAGAGCGTCGTCTACGTTTGCAAGAGTACTTGAGGACTGTTATTAATGCATGTATATCAGCACATCTTTCTATTGATAATTCAAAACAAGATTTGATTAATCACATACCTTTTTTTGGGTAAGATTATTTTCATTAATAATTTTTTTTTTTCTTTTAATAAATAAAAAAGACATTACCTTATTATTAAGAACTTGATTTTATCAACTTTTATTAGCAAATATTATTTGTTAATAATATCAATAAGATATAAGAATTTTTTAATTTAAGATTTCTTTTTTTTATTGCTGTTGTACTTCGTTAAGCAGAAGTTGGTGTGTGCAGAGTAGGGAAAGGATTTGAGGGTGATAAATGGTTAAGGCTGTAAGTTTTAACGTTAACGATTATGTTGGTTTTAACAGTGATTACTAAAGCCCTACTTTTAATATTGCCCAGGCGTGTTGATTACTTTTTTCTCTGCGTTGAAGTAACCATATTTTCGAATATCAGTATGTTCATACAATTATCACTGTTTTTTAAATATACTGATACTCAAAATAAGCTTAGCTTACAAATTAAAAACATTAATCGCTTTCAAACGCCTGTTTGAGTAATCAAGAAAGATAATCAAGAAAATCTCTAGGAACTAACAGTTACGAAATTAAATCAAATTACACTTATGTAAATTAATAAATAAGGTCAAGTAAGATATGCTTTACTATTTACAGAGAAATTTAAAATAGTTGAATGATGGCAATGACCAAAAAAAATTTTAATTTTCTTATATTTGATTTTTTTCCTTAAACTCAAAAAAAAAATTTTAATTTAAGAATTGAAGTTATTGTAAAAAAAAGTTTTTATTTTAAAATATATTTTTTTCCACCTTTCTCTTTTCTCTCTCTCTTTTTTTTTCTTCCACCTTTCTCTTCTCTCTCTTCTTTCTTATTTTTCCACATTTCCCTGTTGTGTTTAAGCATAAAGTCAGTAAAAACATAAACGAAAATTAAGTGAACTCAGTTATTTTGGTTATTTAGGTTCTCGTAATAAAAAAAAATCATCTGATTACTAATTTTTTTCTTTTAAATTTCAATTATGAAAAGTTAAATAAATGAGAAAGACTCTCTGGAAAAAGGTTTTATTCTAGTGTTAGTCTTTTATTGTAGTGTCTTGCAGAAGTTCATTTGAAAAGAGATTTTTCTCGAATTCTTTCATTAAATAAGTGAGTTAAGATTCTAGAAAGTTAATTTTTGTTAATTTTATTTTAGAGAAAATTTTTGTGACGATAACCAAAATAAACTTTGAAAAGTATTTCATTTTTTAATTGACTGGCGTTACACAATCACGGCTACGACGTTACACAATTACGGCTATGACGTTACGCAATCACGGCAACGAGATTCGGCTGGTGCAAATAGTTGAACAAGAATCAATTGCGATTCAGCTCGAGCAAGGAATTGAAAGATGGCAGGGAAGTAAAAATAAACAATAATCAAGTTCTAAATTCTTTTGTAAATATTTATAAGTGAAGTTTAACTTCATTTTTCATCTTTGTATATTTCATCATCTATACATTTTCTTTTTTTCTTTTTTGTTTAATATAATTTGGTCTTATAAATATTTTTTACTTTTCTAAAACGTATTTGTTAAAAAATAATATATATTTTATTTTTATAAATTTTTTTATTTATTCTTTTTGAACTAATTAATGTATCTAATTTATCTTTATTTTATCTAAATATTTTTTTAAATCTAATTAAATTGTTTTTACTTTATTAAAAAAAAAATAAAAAAAATATATAAACTCTGGTTTTGTAATCCAATTGTTTAGATTTATTTTCAAAATATATTTGGATTTATTACATTTTATGCATTTATTAAATTAAACTTTTAGTTTACGATGCAATTGATTATTTTTGAACAATTTTTTTTCAACATATTTTTCAACACCATTTAAGCCTTAGATGAAGTTAAGGGCGGCTGCTATGGCGTCAGCTTTCTAATGCGCCATAATTAAAATATAAATAGCATATCTGTGAGCTCAAGATGTGCGAGACGCATTTGAAAAAGGTCTATATGATAAAAGAAATAACACGTATTAAAAGAAGATTTTTCACGGACTCTCAGAAAGGTTTTTATGCGTTACTAATGGAAAAAAAAATAAATAATAATGCAAGATAGTTAGGTCATATTTTGGATGAATAAAAAAATAAATTACCAAAATTTCATTTATTTATTGGGTATAATAAAATACATAAAATTATATATAAATATGTATGGCTATTTTTTAATACAAAAATAATATAAAAATATCAAAAACAATAAAAAATTATCGAAAGTACTAAAAATACTTTATTTATTTATAAGTGAACATTTCAAAATTTTATTGGATGATGGACATTTCATCATCCAATAAAATGTTATTAGAGGCATTTTTATCGCAATATCCATCAGAATGCCCTTTTTTAAATATAAATTTGCAGCGTGGTTTTTGCATCTCTCATCACAAATAGTTGCACCAGAAGATATCCGTATTCAGTTTATGGCGACGGCCAAATCGACAATTCAAGAGTTTTTTTTTTGAGAGTCTAGCACAAATCGATTCTAATATTTTGTTATTGACTTCTAACTCTGACTCATCAAAATTTACCAAGCCACGTTTCTTATTATTCAATAAATCCGTTTATTAGATCTGGACGAAATCCCCCCCCCCTCATCTATTTTGTTTCACACGCTCTTTACACTAAGCACCTGAGAGCTCTTGAGCTTATTTTTTTGGAGGAAAGTTTTCTAAAATTAACTAAAAGCATCAAAATCCTTCAAAACGTTGCATCGACTCAATAGACAATTATCCTATAATTAAATTCTGTTTAATTTCTTGTTTAATAGTTCTCTTTCTGTTGTTGTTGTTCTCTCTTTTCCAGTTGTGTCGGGGTAGTCTTTAATTTTAGTGTCGGGGTAGTCATTAATACTTGTTTTAAGAATAACTCTATAATGAAGCATTTTATTTCTTAAAAATTCTATTTGAAATACTAGTCCCCTACTATTAACAATATAAAAACACCATCTTTCTCAATAATGCATAAAGAACCTACGAAAGGTTGAATGTTTACAAACTAAATATTCAGAACAACATAAAAAACTTTAAAAAACAGATTCTTTATCCTCTTTCTGCTGATAAATGAATCCTTTAGTTTTCAATAAACTAAAACTGTTAAAAATAACATTTCATACATGCTAGTTTATTTGTTTACCTTTGTAACAACATAGCAACAACATAGCAACAAAACACTGTGTCGTTATTTTGTCTAAATATCTAACCAAAATTTATTATCTTGTGAAGCTTCTTTTTATGTTATAATTTCTTTTTTTAATACGTAACTTTGCGGTATTTTTGGTCATGTTTTTAAGTTGCATTTTTTAATGGACTGTCAAAGAGAAAACTGCTCGCGGAGTAAGTTATCCTGGCGGATATTTTATTCCGGAGTAGAATACCCTAATTTGTTCTATCCGTCCGTCTAGGACAATTTACTCCGGAGTAAACCGTCCTACGCTTGAGTAAACTGTCCTACTATTTGGCGGAATATATATTTGGACTACTCAAGCAATATATATTAGCAATATACTCAAGCAATATATATGTTAAGTTCGCAAAAATACAGCACCGGCCTTATCTTCTTTTTATTATATTGAATGACGCATATCAACGGTAGTAATCCTTTAGCTTTTCCCATAATTTTATCGTCATACTTAATAAGTATGCTTTCTTTGATCCATTCATTAATTTCGTCATCAAACGCCTCACGATATTGGTTGGATACGTTATACTGACTTGTTCTGATTTTCATTTTAGGTTCCGTCTCCCACTCCCAACTTACAATCCATTTTTTGCCATCAAAATAAGCGTTGTTTGTTCCAATTTGAATTGTCGCAACACAAGGTGTCGATTATAATTTAATAAGAGAATTACAGAATTTTAATTTTTCTGTGCGAAATTTTAGTTCATCATACGACATTATTAAATACATACCCATAATCATGTCGCACTTGTTTATTACTTCATCCACACATAGCACCAATGCACCCACCAAATACCCGTTTGTTGGGTGGTGTATTTTAGAAACAACTTCTTCACATCGAATTATTCCGCCCATTGTTGCAAAATTCACTACACGAATTACTTTATTGCCAGATAGTAGTAACTTCTTGGTGATGATTAATTGCAAGCAACCAGTATTCACAAGCGCTGTAGCGTTTCTTCCGTTTATTGTTGAGTCGATAGTAGGTAGTATTGTTACGGGAGGAGTTCTTGTAGAAATACCTAATGCGAACTCGTCCTATTTAAGTTTCCCTGGTTTTATCGACGTTTGTAGCAGTACTTCGCAACAGTACTGCTACAAACGTCGACAGTCCCTCTAGTGCATTTACCTCTTCATTTACAAATAAACATGCCGCATCTAATCTAGTTTATGCAATCACGGATGCCATCTTGGCACAAACGTTAAAACTCAACGCATTTTTTTCCCAAAGAACGGCACGCGGAACAGCACAATAATTAATCCGAATAATGAATAGATCGCGAAGTCGGCCGTCTTCTCTCATGAATTTGCATTCTTGAGCTGCTCGGATCACTAGATGCGCAAACGTTTGTATCGATTCTTCATTGCCACGATAAGTTTTCCCAATATCATACCGTGAGATTAACGATGATTTTCTAATTTCCAACGTTTCCAGTTTCGTCACCAACTCTTCGTACGAAACGTCCTCTGGCAGTTCAGGTGTTGTTAATTTCTCCATAGTCTTTTAAATCTTCAACGGCAGAGAAGCAAGCAAGTACGCTATATGTAGATCTGAAGTAATATTGTTCATCACCAAAAAAGAAGTCATCTGCCAAATAAATGGCTTTGCTTGTCCATCTTCATATTGCGGAGATAACAGACATGCCCGGTTAGCTTGTTGTTCAACGCATTCAGAAGCCATTTTGTTTTTAATGTTTTTATTATTTATCAACAATCTCAATATATTTACAAAAAAAACGTTCATTATATATAGCATTTAAAAATACAACTTGTGACTCTTTTCAACAACTAATGGTCGTTATACAAAACGTTATAATAATAAAAATATGCAACGTAACACTTTTGTCAATAATTAGTAAATCTAATTATTGACAAATTATTGATGCACATTAAAATCACATAGAACCATTCTGGTCTGGCATTTAGCTCTAGTAGTACTTTGAATAGCAACAATCCCATATGCTTTGTGTAATTTGTTAGTCAAGCAGTTAAAGGTTTTTGGGGTCATAAGAGGTAGCATATTCATGAATGCTGCAAAAGCATGCAAAGATTGATAACCTTTGCCAAGTTCTCTAAAAGCTACAATGACATTAAAATTTACAGCTGCAACAGGTTTTCCAGGAGATGTTAAGATTTGTTTATAACTTTGAAGAGATGTATCATATTTTGAAATAAATTCACATGTATCACATAATAAATGTAACTTGTATGAAAAGCCATGTTTATTTTGTAAATTGTTCTTTATTAACAACATATTATTTACAAACTTTGAATATTGTTTTAAAAACTATTAAAATATTATAGTTATCATCGTCAAGCAGATTTTATTCATTATCATTCATTATCATTCTTCTTTCAGCTACCTTGTTTATATTTGTTATATTTAATGTAATATATATTCATAGTTCTTAAGTTGCTAATTTTAAAATTCTTTTTTCTTAAGTTGCTAATTTTAAAATTATCTTTAAAAAGCGGTTGCTATGGGCGTTGTTAGGTAATATATATCTATCTAACTTTTTAAAAAGATGAATTAGACCTAATAATATACAAATTTAACCAATAAAAATGCACTAATTATGTTCTATAACGTCTGAAGTTAAAAAAAATCACTTAAAAAAACCCTCAAAAAAATGTAAAAATTACGTTTTGAATTGGGATGGACCACCTTAAGTGTTTACATCGATATACATTGATGGACCACCTTAAGTGTTTACATCGATATACATAACATCGAAAAACTTTTATTCTTCTTTTTCATCATTCACTTCATTCATTTTATTTTAAGAAACTGAAATAAGTTTTTTAAAATATGCATCTACCCAACTGGTTGACTTTAGTCAACCAAATTATATATTTCGATAAAAAAATAATGTAGGTCATTTAAGAATAGTTAAAGCAAATACTAGCTAAAATATTAGCGATACAAATAAGAAAGGTGAAAATAAAATAACTAAAACAATTATAAGAATGACAAGATAACGTTACAACAACATAAAATTAGTATTCATTTTTAAACAACAATAGAATTAGGCTAAAGCAGTTGGAGATTGCTTTAGCTTGTTACTATTCGATTGAATGAACCATTCCATTAATGACACTCAACTTCATATACAACATTAATATGTTTGTTTGATTAGATAAAGTTAATTTTTGGGGTCTAAAAAACAGTACAACAGCCATATTATAGGAAAGTTATATACTATTTCTGATAACTTTATTATAATACTATAGTATTACAATTACAATAATTATTAGTAACTATATAATAGAATCTTAAATAATTAAAACTATTAATAGATCGATAGAATGTATAGTTTATAATATATAGTTTATATATAATATATAGTTTATAATGC